TTATTAATATGTATGATATGTACTATAATGCCCTAAGATAGAGACGTCTATAGACTTTGAAGTGGACCGAAAATCAAAACATAACGCGCCGACCGCTGGCCGACTGAACCGCTCGGCTGTGCTTCGAATCGCCCTCTTTACAAAGACGACGCGTTACAAAATTCTTATACACGAATCGAGTTTACATACTACAACAGTGAAACTTGGCAGAAATACAGATTAGATGTAGACGTATACAGCGCAGGGTTCGTCGTCAAAATATATTAAATACTTTCGGAGATATCGTACAGCAAAGTTGAACCAAGTTTCCCGGGTTATTTATAGACCGATTTTTAATTTGAACCCTGCGCTGTATTGCTGAAATCTGGACGTTTATTTATATGTATGATTTTCTCTACAATACCCCCAAATAAAGCCGCCCATACATTTTAAATTGGAGCAAAAATTAAAATTAACGCGCCGACCGCTGTCCGACTGCGTGCTCTGCTGTGTCGATCTACACACCGTGTGGCACATCCGAATGCCTGGTCACGTGACGCTAGGCGGTCGATCCGATTGGATGATACTGTAAACAATTTCTAAAGATAGATAGGCCTACATGTGTTCCCGTGTTAGACTCGACGGTTATATCTATTTTGTATAGATTAGATATATAAGCCGACAGGCATGTTTCATAATTTTGTCCTTACCCATTTAAAGGGGAAAAAGTCTTATTAATATTTACGGCTCAGGTTTCAAATTTATCTTGTTTTTAAAATTAATCCAGATGGTTACTGTCCGATTATAACAATTCTGCGTTTTGCGCACCCTAATTTCATTTAAAATTAGAGCATTTCTTTTTCATAAAAACGGCTTTTATTTTTTTCCCGGTCCCCCTTTTTTTCACTACACATTTAGAATCTACATACGCTTAACAAAGTGGAGGATACTAGCCAGCCAAATTGACCAAAAAGGGATGGGGTGGGTGGGCATTCTGTATAACACCCAACGTAACAACCATAGCCTACGTAAGCCTCACCCCGCCCCCACTAGTCCGTGACGCGACGAGCCGACGGTCGTCGCCTTTGATGTTGTACAACACCCGTACGGTACCTACTCAGTACGTGGTGGTTTCATATCCCACCTACCTCCCCCTTCACTTTGTGGAGTTGATGTTACTAACCCTCGGGCATAGATCAAGAAATCTTGCCAGACTTTTGTCTCTGAAAGTACATAATATTCGTCTGACACGTTCATCGGCTTGGCCGACTAGCCTATCCAGCGGTGGTGTTTACGTAATAGGGCAATAAAATTCGTTAGTCAGAAGATCTGGTTAGTCAGATTAAACAAAATCTAGGCAAAAGCTTGTGGTGGTACACGTGTCTGTGTATAGGCACACACCGTAATCTTACACAGTTTCTAGAATCTACTAGATCTACACAATCAAGCACTCAAACACGTGCTTTTTTCTTAAGAAAGTTTTTAATTGTAAAAGGCCTACTGGTAGACATACAAAAATACATAAGCCTACTTACTACTAGCACAAACATTGGGCTTAAATATAATTTATGTTATAGACCTATAACTTACACTAGATCTATACCTTGTGCAAGTTTTTAAAAAAAAATTTTCCTCCAAAAAATATTTTATTGAAATTGTAAAAAGGAATAATTTTAATATGGGTAATAATATTACGTAATTATCATAAAGCACACTCTGATTCTGATCAGACACATTTGTGACTAGACTAATTTTATAGCAAAGTAACAAGAAATATAATTATAATGAAATAGGCCTATATTTTGGAATAGAGTAGGCCTAAAGTATTGGACATAGATTACATAACATCTTTTAAGAAGTTACATAATCACAAATTTACTTTTGTAATAGCATTCTTCTCTTTGTATTGTAAAACTTGATTAGTTATATTTTCTTTTAGTAGGCTATTAACTTGAAGTTAACTGGCAATGAGCAAAAGTGATTTAAAAACTAATTAATGGTATATTTTGAGCAAAGGGTGGTATTACCTAACCTTAACATTTGATAGTTATGTAACAATGTTGGACCATTTTAAATACTACCATTAGCTTCAGCATATATAAATGTCATATTATAGATTAAAACAGTGTTACATTTAAACAATGACTTCTTATCACATTGATTATTAGATGTTTTAAAAAAATAGAAAGGGGGGTATTACATAATCAATGATAATCTATGCGATTAGTCGATTATGTAATCGAATGACACTTTTTAAAATAGCATCATTGGATTCGGCATACAAACATCTATAAAATACCATAACATGACATCAATTGATGAAGTTTGCTTGCTTTAATACCACTTTTAGTGAAAAACTCTTTAAAATTTGGTCCATACCCTCCCAGTATTTTTCCTCTTTCAGGGTCTACCCCGGTTGTCTGAAAAAACGGCTATTTTTTAATGACAAAAAAATTCATAACTTTTTTGTTTATGGTCAGATTTAGAAAATTTAAACTGATCTGTAATCAGATTGACAGCCCCTATCCAAATATGTAACTATTATATTGTTTTATTGAAATTAAATTTTTGCATTGGCCTAGCTACTGGCTGTCTAGCATGTCTGATATGTAAACTTTAAAAAAAATGACCGAACTTTAAAAAAAAAAATGACCAGAAGTAGGAAAGTAGGTCTGTTTTTTAATTTGCTTGAAGAAGGGGGAAGTGAAGACACCGACCATCTAGTGTACGCGTGTTCATTCTATGACGTGTACTGAACTCACGGTGAACCCGCGACCGTAGTGGGATTTTTCATCCACAGGATAGTAAACATAAGCAAGCAATCACGCGAGTGACGATGTTTGGAGATTTTTAAAAGAATAAAAAACTTTAATGTAAGAAAAAAAAAAGACACTAATACCATGTATGAACCTCAGCTGCCACACTGTTGACTCAATATAATCATCCCCATAATGTGAATTGAGTGTAAAATATGTATTTGTATTTATAAACTATCTTAACTATTAACTATTACTATCATATTATTTTAAGCATATTTATTATTTAAAATTAGAATTTGAAATAAAAATATTTATTATGGCCATTTGATTTTTGCAGGTGTTCATTACTTCATAAAATGGTATGAATAACATGTAGAATAGAATTTAATAAATAATAAAATAACTACATCTAGTTTTAATTATCAACCAGTTGCTATTTGTTATTTTCCGGTGAGTAAATAACCTAAGCTGACGCAATTACCATGGCGGGAATTAAAAGCTCGTGGACACAAGTCCACGACGTCATGTTATGCCGGTCGAGGAGTAAGAACGCTGTTTTGTCGTTCATTTTCCATTCTCGGATAATTTTCAAATTCTCTCTTTTCTCGTCAACCGAGTAAGCTAGATATTTAAATGTGGTGTCAAATGTTCTCTTAAGGGGTAAGGAACTTAATGGTGTATTTGAAATAACATAATGTTTTATTTTAAAAAATCCATAATTCAACCTACCAATTATTGAATTAAATATCGCCGGCCTGAGAAAAATCCCTACATGGACGAGGGTAAACAGTGAGTTCACATTGACTGATTTATCAGCATACGTCATAGCTTGGGCAATTGCTATTTGAAATTGTGGTGGCCTCAATGTTGGGGTCATTGTGAGTTCATATATGTTTAGTTATAATAGTATTAGGCGAGCTAGAGATACTTTTAACTTTAAACAATACAAACTTTAACTGCCTTGCAGTTATGAGTTTGGTACTTTACCCATCGCCATGAAAATCTTAACTGACACAAACATATTTTAAAGAGTAAAAATAAAGGTAAATCTAAATTCAATATTCCAAATTTTGATTTTTCTTAAGTTTTGACAAAAGTAGGCTAAATTATCTAAAACTAAAATTCATAAAGAAATAGGCTTAGTGTTTTCCTGTGTGTTTCAGTTGTGTTTATAATAAAATACGCTGAACTGGAGGTGAATGTGAAGTGGGGAATAAAATAGGCCTACACTAAAATGTAGTTTTACCTCAAAGGTATTCAAGAGGCCCATAAAATATTTTTAAAATCATGTGCGATGTAATAAAAATTAATATGGTTATAAAATCCTGACTATTTGGTTTTGGATGATTTTAGATACCGATGTATGATAATTGTCTCTTCCATAAAATAGGTGTGTTGGGTTGTTAGTAGTATTGTAATCTCAACTAATTTTATGGTTAGAAATTACGGTGAGGCATATGGTAGGACTAGGGTTAGGGATAGGGTTAGCATTGACATTAGCCAGCAATGTGTTTATTTAGTTAACTACCAGTAACCTAACTCCCCTTTTTTTAAAGAAGATTCATTAAATTTTAGTTATTATTTAACATTTTCAGGAGGATATATGTTTTAAAAGTTACATAAACGATTCTCTGATTACTAGTAACTATAGCAGCCATATTAAGTTGTTGTTTTTTTTTGTAAAATATTATAGTTAGATTCAGGGGAAACAACCCTAATTTACAGATGGCAGCTGTTTATATAGCAAATCTTGCGCTCAAACACTGCTGGCTAATCTTACAATATAGCGTCGGTCATTATTCCAAAATGGTACAGCAGTAAAAAACTGTAAAAAACTGTTAGCCCTATTCTGGTTGTAGGTTTGAACAACAGAAAAGTGTATCAATAAGGAAATTTTTCTGACAAAAGTGAAGAATTAGAATGAAAACATTAAGTTAGGTCAATACTAAATAATATCAATTGGTACAGAAATGAAACTTTACAAATATTTAGATCTATCTGTAGATCTAAAAGAATGTAAATTGTACACTCCATGTCAAAAATAAGAAATTTTAACTTTATTTTGCTTAAATACAATTTGATATAGTCTTAAGTCTATAGGCCTGTATAGAAATCAAGAGTTTTTATCACATCTGATTCAAATTTTGTATAATATAGTTAAAGTCACCAGGATATGTTTATTTTGTGTTCTTTACGTTAGTGTAATAGAAACATAGTTAGCTTTATTTAGGTCTATTTTTGAAAATTATTTTCTCTTCAAAGGAGTTAAATGAATGTGTAAACTATGTCACAAGAAGTAGATCAAGACGATGCCGATCTAACAACGAACAACAACACAGGACACATAGTTGTGGACAATGCAGAGAACAACAATGTAGGAGGGGCCTCACTCTACAATAAGGAAGATGATGAAGAATCTGAACACAATGACAGTACTGAAGAAAATTTTTACATACCTGACAATATGCAGGGAGATCTAATGGCAAGTGGAGACATCCCTTCTAGTAATGCAGCAAAAAATGGTAGTGGTATTGATGGTAAGGAAACTAATTCAACATACTCTTTACTCTTCTTAGTAAATTTAACATACTTATGCATATCCACACCTTGTATTTTTTTCATTGTTAAATAAACTTGCAGCAGTTACAGTGTTTTTTTAATGGGGGGGGGGGTGTCATGATTAGTACTTTTTCTTGAAAAATCACATAATTAAGTTAAATCTAACTTAAAATATTTGAGTGTAAGAAAACTAATACCTCTAATGAAATTTAAAAAAAATAGTTGACTTAAAACATTAAGAAACTCAAATAAAGCATCAATATTATCTATTTTTTGATATAGTGCACTAAATGTTTTAGTATTTACTAACAAAATACCTAGGATTAAATTTTGAAGCATAAAGTGAAATTACCCTTTAAGACCTCATAATTCAAAATTTAGGAAATTGTAAGAAAATAATTATGGTTGGGTTAACATTTAAACCTAACTTCATAGTAACTGTCAAGTTAAAGACAAAATACTTTTTTTTAATGATCAGATGATATTTGGCTAAGTGAAGATGAGGATGAAGATGAAAATTATACAGATGACGAAGCAGATGTTGATCCCAAGTCATTAACTAGAGTTCCAGTTCCTATCTCTGATTTGCCAGAGACAGTCACATTGTTAGAAAGAGATGGTTGCCTTGTATATATTGTTGGTACTGCACATTTTAGCAAGGAGAGTCAAGACGATGTGTCAAAGGTAGATACAAATATAACTTTTCAAATAGATATATATTTTATTGACATAACAGAATATGCTTATATATTATTTGTTTTGCATTCTGTTATACAAGAAGAGTCGAGATTATAGTTTTTATATTTTTTGAAATAACACCATTTGTATGTGATGACAGTGGCCAGTAACACTTTTTAAAACATAGACTGTTGTTAATTTAGATCTATGAAATTCAATTATTACAGGTAATTCAATCAACAAAACCACATGTAATCATGGTTGAATTGTGTCAGAGTAGAGTGAACATCTTGAGAATGGATGAAGAGAAAATTTTAGAAGAAGCTAAGAACATCAACTTCTCTACTATACAACAGGTCATCAAAAGGGTAAGTTAACAGGTGGCAGTTTTCTTTCCATGTCTTTGCCTAACCCAAAAAAAACACAGTTATTACCAAGAAAATGCCAATATCAATGGTTATTATATTAAATACTTGTTTATAAGCATTTTTTTAAAAGAGTTATAAAAATGTTATTAGCAATGTTAGGAAAAAAGTAAAATACCCTTTCAAAACTTAATTGGTCCATGAGGCAGGTATTAGTGACCTCAACATTTGAAGGGATAGTGTGGTCAGCCCTGCCACCTCTACTTTCCCTAATGTGAGTCAGGAACCCATCAGAGCTAGATGGTCTCTGAGACTCAAACACAGGATCTGAACTTGAGACTTGGTTATGCAGTAATGAAAGTAACTTTTTAGGTCTGTTGAGTTAGAGTTCAGCTGACTCCAGTTATGTAGCCAGTTATCTTACTTCATATAATTTGTAACAGGTCTACCCCAGGCCTGGGTGGTTTTTGATATCCAACAGCCTTGAGCTGGGTACTCAAGACTTTGAGGGGTTATTAGTTATCACATATCAATCATGTGATTCCATTAAATGTTTATTGGCTTTTGCAACTTTTTGGATAAAACACCTTTAGCTTGAGTCATAACTCATGAACACAAATTATTTTTTTAGATTAATGAAGGGATGACTTTAAAATAAAGATATCAACTAGATACATTGGTAGAGTACTCCCATTTACACAAAGCAATCATGCCCAGAGAATCTATATATATAATTCTCTTCTGGGAGCCTTTAGAAAACAAGCTGCAAGCGCCTCCTTGCAGTCCCCTCTCTTTCTCTCCATCACTATCACTACCACCCCCACCCCACCCCCACATTGTCTGGTGAGCTGTGGTCACACTATATGTTTACAAAGCTAAATGTTTACAAATCGTAGAGCCCTAGAGCCGGGTTTCTATTAGGGGCAGATAATTTAGTTCGATTTTAAACTTACAGGAGGTAACTAAGAAATAACTAAGAGGAGGCTGCTTTCACGGGGATGGGGGTGGGGGGGGGGGGGATGGGGCGGGTGTAGGGTTAGGGGAAAGGGGGGGGGTTAGTATTTTAAATATTTAAATATAAAATATTTTCAGTGGCAGCATTGGTACTGTCGAATTCACAAATTATGAATTACTGAAAAGTAGAAAATGAAACAACTAAAGAGCAGCGTATGATACGCTGGGGGTAGGCTCGTATTTATTAATTTAAAAGAGAGAGTAAAACTTGTGTTTTTAAGGAGAAAGAATAGAATTGTCTTCCTTTGTTTCAGTTTAAAATGTAAATAAATCACATTTTATTTTACAGAATGGTTTAATGCAAGGCATTCTAAATATTCTCTTGCTGAACATGTCTGCCTACATTACCAAAGAGCTTGGTATGGCGCCAGGTGGTGAATTTAGAGTTGCATTTAATGAGGTTTGTTATATTTTTATTAACCTAAAATACCGTGACCTATGTTAAAAGGTAGTTAAAATAATGCAAGTTTTATTACTTTACAGGCCCAGAAATTGAAAGGTGGCTGTAAGTTTATCCTTGGTGACAGACCTATCCACATTACCCTGCGTAGAGCATTAGCATCTCTGAGTATATGGCAACGCTTAAAGCTAGCATATGCAATCCTCTTCTCAAAGGAGCCAATAACGTAAGCAAGCAATGCATCTTTTTTCAAGGAGAGTGTCATAAAAAATCTTATACAAACATTCCCAAATTAGTAACTGGAAACATCAAAATGATTTTATTTTGCTAAAGAAACTTTAAAATTTCTATAATTTTTTTTTTTTAAATGTTCAATTTTTTGCAGGAAAGAAGATGTTGAGAAATGTAAACAAAAAGATATGCTAGAGCAGATGATTGAAGAAATGACAGGAGAATTTCCTGCACTTGGACGAGTCTTTGTCACAGAACGAGATATCTTTCTGGCACACTCTCTGCGTAAAGTAGCTCAACCACTTGCTTGCCCAGAAGCCCCAGATGGTACATTTTTTTTTAACTTAATGTTGGACATCTGAAATTGATTTTACTACCTTTGAAGGTTTTACTTGTGTGTTAAGATATTATAAAGTAAAGATTGAAAGATTTTTATTTTTTAACTCTTTTTAAGCTTGATGGTGAATAGATAGACATCTTTGTGCATTTTGATAAGTCAGCTTGAATCCATCTTATATTAGATATCAGTGATGGATTCTAGACTAGTTTTTATGGCAGACATTTTACCACTTGTCTAAACCATGCCATTTCATATACATACAATGCTGAGGCCAATTAGACAATTGTGAATAAATCTGAACTGATAGTGATCTGTTGTTTGAATAAAGAATTACCAGAACTTGTCGACATAATTTAGAAATCAAAGAGAATAACCATTCTGTAGAAACAAGCATATCATATACCAAGTGATCATTAGCAGCCTTTTTTATAATACTGAATTTCTTTTTATTATGTATCATATTAAGTTTTAACCACGGGTGTTTAATTATGCAATTTGATTAAAAAGTTTGCTCAGTTTACATTTTATCACAAAATTATTGTATTTTATTCTTGTTATTTTTTATTGCAGGAAAATTGCCCACAGTTGTTGTTGGTGTTGTCGGTATTGGACATGTTCAAGGCATTAAAGAAAACTGGGAGAAGGAATTGAATATTGATGAGATTTGCAAGTAAGAAATCTTTCTTTTACAACTGTTGATTAAATTTGATCTCACAATCTAATGACACCTGTTTGATTTAAAAAAAAAACAACTATTTTTCAGAATGCCAGCACCTAGTGCAATATCTGTAATTACAAAGTGGAGTTTTCGACTTAGCCTGCTTGGTCTCCTGACTTATGGCTGCTATAGAATAACTAAGCTCACAGCCATCCCATGGATAACAGCCATTATAAAATGACAAAGTTTGAGATGATAAGTTCTGATAGCTTAAGGGAGAAGGGAAAGTTCGGTCCTCTTTATACATCTGCTAAACAGACCATAAGTGATTCAATTGTTTCATAAATATGCATCACTCTGGTCATTGGTGCAACTCTGACTGACCCAAGAAGATTCATGATCAGATGAATAATGGTGATTTAAATTTGAAGATATCGTTGAAAATATTGATTTTACTCTGTGCCAGGAAAATGGATCACATTTATTTCCATTGCAATTTTTCAGGGGCTTTGGGTGGACTCCCTTTTAATATTTAAAATATATTCCTCCACTTTTTTTGAATAAGTCAATGTATATCAAAGATGATTGTGTATATGATGCAAACATTTTTCTGCCTGCTGGAACCATGGGAGTGGGTTTTACATTGAACAAAATGTTTGGTGTGTTTGAAGAAAAATAATGATAACCTGTGTGTTTGACATTCATTTTCTGAAAGATTTTAATATGAAGGGATTTATTCCATGAATAAAGTTTCAATAAATGTTTTCTGTATATATCATCTTTCAACAGGGAAAGGAATTTTTTTCGTATACTCTTTTTAAGTGCATGAGTATGACATATGTTTAGTTTTCAGATTCTGAAAGTATTTTTTAATTAATAATATACCATAACTATTATTTATAATTTTTTAAATTCACAAGTTCCCATTGTCTTAAGTTGGTTTGTGCAGATATGAAAACTCCATTGATTAATATAAATAAATATATACAAGTTTAAAATAATTTGTTTTTGACCAATTTCACAACCAAATTACAATTATTTGATATAGCATACAAAATCAAACAAGTTTTAAACAAAATCAAATGTTTGTTTTAAGCCAATTGTTTTAATTTCTACAGCATTTGGTTCAGACTTTTTTTTACTAGACTAATGACATAAAAATAAAAATGCTGTTTTTAAAATAAATTTTGAATGTCAACTGTAAAAGAGAAATAGGCCTACTTAGAGTATACACAAATCAGAATCTATTTTAAAGCAATAACTTTTCACTTAATTTAATACTTTTGTAATTTTTTAGTTTAAAAAAAAACCCACAGAATGCATTTTTTTTTCTTTTTTTTCATGTATTTAGATTTATAATGGGTAACAGGTGACTCTTATTTGTAAAATATTCTTTCATTAAAATAATTATAAACACTTGTTTTCATTGTAGTATATTTTGTGAATGGTAGTAAAATTAAATCAACGTCCTGTTAGTACATAAGATACAATTGCATTGCATACACTATCATAGAAAATAAAGGTTTGTGTTTTCCTGTTAGGGGTTTGCCATTTATGACATGTAGACTAGGGATTGAAAGTTCAATTTTTGTGTTGATTCTCTTTGCAATCATGTGCTCTTAACATGTGCTAGACAGTTTTTGATTTTGTCAAAAATATTTATTGTTTCCCTTTGCAATGGATATATGTTAACAGTTTTGGTTAACTAAGTTGATAAAGCCAAACACATGGCTGTCAATATTAGATATACTGATCAATTCTCAAAACAGTTAACAACAATAAGTAATTAAAATATCAATGGCTAAAATTCAGTTATAAAAATACATGTATTTAAATGCAAAGGTATTGTCACACAGTTTCTAAAGACTGAACCACCTCTAGGAGTATGATGTTCTTTCAGTTATATCTTCCAAGTCTAGTGTGAGTCTTTATTAAACAAATTTTATATCATGATCCTTAACCTGAGGGGTTCATATCCTGCAATTCAGCAGCCCTTTTTAATGACTAGCACTAGTTTAAAGCTTTGCATACAAACATAAGATTAAAATATACAAATATACACATGCTGTTTCTCTTTACCCTCCAAAGCAAACCAATAGGTAAGGCAAATGTCAAGGTATTGCAAAAACAGGAAACAATGAATAGAAAAAGACAAATATTACACTTGTTTAGCATTAGATAAGCAAAATATTCCAATTATATAAAAAATAACATACATCTACTTTTAAAAAAAAATATTGCAGGTTAACTAGTGGGGTAATGCATTACCTATTGTCTCCCATATTTATTAACACTCCCCTTCACCAAATAGTGCACTATTTCTTTGTTGAGTGATGAATAGGCATAACAGGTATACATAATTAGAATGCTGATGTAAGAGCCGACAGCAAACGTGAAATGTAACACCTTAAAGTGAGACCACTCTCTATGGGTGTGGTGTCTGGCCAATGTATCTTCTGAAGTGTATACTAGAATTAGTAAAATATATTCAAATATTTACTTTGACCACTTACCTCCTCCTTACTCCACCCCCCCCCCCCCCCCCCCCCCCCACCCCTCAATAGTCTGAAAGAACCATTGATTTTTTTTAGGCTCTACTAATTCAAAGCCAATAAATTTTGTCTTGAGAAAATTACCTCTTGCGATGGGTAGTATAGAATACTCATATTAAATTTTATGTTCGTGTTCCATTTTTCATATCAGGATAGAGCATTTAACACAAAATTTCACAACTGCTAATTAATAATATATTGTATGTTGTGTTTTTTTAGTCATGTTCATGAGGTTTTGTTTTATATAATGGGGATTATTATGAGGGCAAATTGACAGTGGGAAGGGGGAGATCAGGGTGGTAATTGCAAGGGCTAATGGGGGGGGGGGGGGGGTTGACGGGTTTAATGCCCAACTCACTCCCTTAAACAGTAGTTTTCAGCACAAGCTATATTTATTTTTTTCTTGACAATATTTTATAAATAATCTTAGCTGTTAAACAAGTCTACAGTGAATTCCACTTAAGTCCCCCCCCCCCCCCCCCCCCAAACATGTATCTACTAGTTGAGTATTTATTAGTGACCCTCTCATCCTACCAAAAGAAAACAACACATTTTTACCTATACCTGATTAACAATTTTAAGAGTAGGCACTATCCAAATTATTCAAGACTACTTATTTTGCCCTACATTTTTTAGAACTTACACATTACATAAAATTATTGTAAAATAACTCATTAATAATAAGATTTGTTTGCGGTGGGTTTGCTAGAAGTGGTCTGTCTTATCCATCTGTCAAACAGAATGCAGAGTCATGGAAAATGAGTTTTACAATCTAAAAAAAGTAAGACAAGATCATACAAGCTGACGACATACATGGGAAAATAATTAAGTTTTCTATCAAGTGGCATCTTCAGGCTCACTGTCTGTGAGGGTCTCCATGGTAGATAGTGAAAAACTGGGTGAGGTCACATCTGCCAAATACTCAGAGTAGATAGAAGCTTCCTGTTGAGCAGTTGCATTGTAACTTGAACTAGACAATTCAGCTTCTAAGCTGTAAGGCTCGGACAAATAGGGCAAACTTATCTGGCCTGGATAATTTAAAGGGCTTTCTACTTTCTCAGACTGGTTGGAGATGAAGCTGGATTGGCTGGCATCTGCATCTGAAATACAGGATGCATTGTCAGTGTCATCTTCTTCGTGCCAACGAGAGAACTGAGCATTTTTTTTAGAGATCCCAAAAGGATTCAGACTTAATCCTGACAGCAAATCATTCTCATCATCTGCCCATTTGTTTCTAGATTTAGAGTATGTGTTGTTGAAACCATAATGTTCTGATATCCCAGTATCATCTAAACCAAGAAAAATTTCATTAGCAATATTCTCTTCAGGTTTTTTCTCCGGATCTGTGGTATTTGAAGTCTCTTCTTCGTCGACCCATTTGGTTTTGATATTGGAGGAAGACTTTGAGACAACAGATGAGGAATTATTTGTTTCCACTGATGTAATGACTTCAGTAAAATTCCCAACTGAGCTATCAACATTTTGATCAGTTTTTAAATACTTGGGTTTAAGAGTTTCTTTACCCTGAGCTAACTCGTGTACAATAAATTTATCCAAGAATGACAAAGACAAATCTAGATGGGAAGAGTCAAAGACAATCTGAGACATTTGAGTCACAGTTTCAGGATTCTGGATCAAATCTTCCAGGAGTGACAGTAGATAGAGCACTCTAGGATCTCTAATCAAAAGTCTGTAATTCTGTTTTTGAAGCCATTCTCTCAAAGCCGGAATTTCTAGACAACCGGCTAAAACTAGTTTAATTATTGCACGTAAACAGCTACATTTGACCTCCATGAGATTTGAGATGTGATATTTATCCACATTTTCATCACTGCTTTGAGAAGGTCTTGGTATCAGACTATGGCTAGGGAATGAATTGTTTTGCCACAATAGTAGCTTTTCAGCAGAATCAAGAAATTCTCTAAACGGCATTTTGGTGCCAAGTTTTGGAGCTATTAAAGCCATTATCTCTATGGACAGCATTAAAGTAGGGTGTGATGGGCTCTGCTGGTTTATCACCTCCAACAACACTCTCATTAAACTACTCTTATCCTCCACTGTAACTGAGTCTTCAGTCTGGAAAACGTTCTCAATTTTCAGCAACACCTGTTCAGTCAGCTGAAGCTGAACGTCATGTGTAACATTGAGATGTAAAATGCTCAAGTACGTCTGTACGTACCAGTCTATTCCCGGAGCCAGCCTTTCTGCTAAATCACTAATAAGTTTTATGATGTCATCCACAAACGTCTTATCCTTTGTTTTCTGTATCTGATCAAACAGCTTAGAACAAATAGGTTTTATATTTGCTCTGTTGGCCATGGCATGGAGTAAATATGTTGTTCTATACTGGATGGCTGGATCTTCATCAGCCAGACATTCCACTACAGCTCTTTGGTGTTGAGCTGCAAAGGATGATTTGATTCTAGACAGAGATATAAGAAGCCCTAAGCCTTGGTATCGCATGCTGTTACTGGCATCAGATGACAGCAGTTTACCAATGCAACGGGAGCATAAATTGAGCAGCTGCTCATCTGCATGAATCTTGGCAGCTGTCAGCACACTTTCTATCAGAATTGCTAAAGACACTGGCTCTGTCACCTTGGTCTTTTCAATTAATGTTTGCAGAAAAGAAGCTATTGCACTTTGTAGTCTAGCTTCCACTGAACCCAAGTGACCTAAGATTTTCAGGAGATTAATTTGCAACCAAGGTAACGGAACCATATGGTAATAGTAAGTTGAACCAAATCCTCCACTGTTAATTTGATCAAGTATATGCAAGAAACTTCCTCCAAGGCTTACATACTTGTGTGGGTTTTCCCTAACCAAAATAAGAAAAATATTCACCACAGCTGATAAAATACCAGGGTCTCTAGATTCCAGAAATAAATTAAGTTGCGGAAGAGAAGGTTGTACCAAGGCCGGAGAACTGTTGTAGAATGCTTGCAAGCAGTAAATTGCTTTTTCTCTGACTAGCTCATGGGAATGTTTCAGCTTTTTGATCACTTCAGGTAAAATACTTGCAATGTTTTCTTCCCCAACAAGCTGACCAGCAACAATCAAAGCAATACAGTTGTCTCCCATGTTGGAACTCTTCAAATCACGCAGGAGAGTGGCCATCATCAGCATGACCATCTCATGATGCGGATGTAACAACAGACAACACAACAGATACCCCAACCTCTTGTCATAGCCTTTGCCCTGCTGCGCAAGATTTATTGCATAAATTGCAACAAAAGTGACATCGTATCCTAAAAGATGACAAAAAATAGCTTTAGTAAAAGAATTCCGAATCATGACAGATGAACTTGATACTTCAGCCTGCTTGAGCTTTTGCTGCAATGCAGTCAATTCAGAATGCACTATTGCTGCTTCATGGGTCTTGGAACGAGCTCTATGCACAACATTCATAAAAATTTGCACCTCTTGGTGCAGAGGTTGTCGGGCTGATGATTTGCTGTTTTTTCCGCCAATAAGAGTTTGTGTTAAAAGTTTTGGCAATGAAGCCAATGTTTTCTCCATAATTTGGCTCATGACCAACTAATTATCAAATTGATTTGTAGCAGCTCATAACATTTTATCTGAAAAAGACAAGCCACAAAAATTAGCCTTAAGTATATTCTTCCATTAAACCAACTAGCTAAATTCCTATATTATTTCTGAAAATTATTATTCCTCTACGTTGAAATTTATATAAGCCTGCTTTAGATCAGAAAATACATTAATTATACTAGTCTATATATATTGATTTATATTAACAAACATTCATAGTTAATGATGCAGGGGAGGCTGTATTTTTTAGGGCTGTGCACAAAAGTTTAAAACTATACCTTTTTGGGGATATGCACTGGCACTGCCCTGGTAGAGTAACTAGTGGCTCATGCTATACCCCTGCCACTTAGGTATAACTGGTGGCACAAACTGAGTGATTCATCACTAGTTATTTAAGTTTATAGTTATGTTATCTAGATCTATATAGGGCTACATATAAATGAAAGTATGGCTGTGGGTTTGTCTTATAGTAGCCTTATAGGCATTACTACACTTTTCATCAGGTCGCAATGGACACAGGACATGCGACATTCAATGACTAAACTGAAATGTAGTCGAACCCCGCCCCCCTACAATAATGTAGCCAATAACGCCCAAGAGCACTCTGCGATGCCCCTTTCATACAGCATGTCCTAGCCTAGGGCTTAGGGCATCTGGGATCTAGACTTAGTCATTAGTGTGGAATCATGGCTCCAACAAATATCATGATTAAAGAAATATTGCGTTGACATAAAATTCATAAAATTATTAAATTAAATAGTAAATAGTTACTAAATAGCTCAGTTTTAGTAAAGTGAAAGTAATAATTATTAATAATTATTATTAATTAATTATAAGGCCAAATTAAGAAGTAGATCTAGAATTCTAGTACTAGTAGTAGTAGTAAGTCAAGTAGACTAAGAACTAGATCTAGTAAGAAGACTTAGACTAAAATGACTAAGACGACTAATCCACTGTCACTGTACTGTAGTTACTAGTTAGACGAGTTAGTAGTACTTACTTCATACTTGGCTAGTATTTATTTATTTATTTAACGAGATCTAGATCTAGATTTAGTTAGATCTAGTAGATCTAGCTAGCGCTATGTGCCATGGGACTACCTAGTGTTTTTAATAAAAGTTGACTTTAAAAATCTAAGACAATCAATGAATAATAATCTGATCATAATGTTAAAAAAAAATTAATTTTGTTTGACTGCAACGATAATGTTGATTAGTAGGAAAATAATAAATTTAGAGTTACTACCCTTTGAATATAACTAGCAGTTGTGTTTGCAGATCACTATGGGTTCTCTTTATTGTTGTTATTTTTTTTAATGTCCAACGTATCTTTTCTAACTCGGATACGACCAAAGATTATTCAAGGCCTTTTTTTTTTAATTTAAAAAAAAAGAAAGAAAAAAACATTTTACTCATAAGCTTTAAATTAAATGCACTAACAAACAGTGTTTCTTTGAGACATTTTTCTCCGGGGGGGGGGGGGGGGGGGTGTACTTGAAATTTTCGGGGGGGGGGGGGGGGGGAGCGGACACTTGTAAAAGTGTATGTTTACTATACAAAATCCACAAAACAAACTTGCTTCCTTTAATTTTATTGATAAAAGCTTTTCTCGCTAAAAATATGTAAGAGTAATTACAGCAGTTAAAATACTTTAATAAAGCAAGACATTTCGTTTTGTTCTCTTTATTTCCGTTCATTTAAAAGCTTGTTATTATAAATGGTTATTTTTCTTTAGAGAGTAATCCATAAATGACGTCACGCTTTTTTAACGATTTTTACCTATCCTCCGTCACACATCGTACCAAAAAACTAGACCCCCTACCTAAAATGACGTCACACCTTAGCCTAAAGCCCCCCCCCCCCTCAAAATTGCAGTTGAATTTTTCTTAAAACATCAATATTTTTCCAAAATCTTGTCTGAACTCTGTCAACATAGAGTATTTTAATCAATTCCTATTACAATTTATTAAAACCGTTTTTTAAAACGCGAAAGAACGACTAAAACTCGTTTTCTAACATTGCATTTTTATAATGCCAAAGTGTGACGTCACACAATTTGAACCCCCCCCCCCCCCTCCTCATCATCACACACCTTCACAAAATTACGGACCCCCTTGACCCCCTACGAGTGTAACATCATTTATGGACGACCCAAGAAATGACGTTGACTAAAAATATTTGCGGTAAAACCCTATAGATAGTAGCCTGTTATCTCCAAAACACAGTTATCTGGTTATCTGTCCACTTGCTGGTTAGTGGTCACAGGAGAGAAAAAAATCAATTAGCCGTAACAAACAGTTCAACCTCAACGGCCATCTGATCGAGCGATCGCTAGTACTTAATCTTGTTATCTCCTCTTGTATTATTGTAATCTTTAAATCAATTTTTAACGACTAATGAAACATCTAATTAAATTATAAAATTTGCTATTCTTGCATTGTCATCGGAGACAAATGTTGATCAACGTGTAACGAAATCACTGCGTTTAAAATTGTTCAGAAACAGACATTGATTGCAGCAGTAGCGTAGCGAGGGGGGGGGGGGCGGGGGGGGGGGGGGGGAAATATGTCCCCGGGCGCCGACCTTAGGGGGCGCCAAAATGGGTTGGAAAAGTAAATAGAAAGGTTGAGGGGGGTACAAATCGAAAGTTTGAGGGGGGGTGCAAATCAAAATCTCAAGGGGGGGGGGGTGCAAATCGAAAGTTTGAGGGGGGGGGGGGTGCAAATCAAAATCTCGAGGGAGGGGGGTGCAAATCGAAAAGTTTGTCCCCGGGCGCCGGGAAGGGTCGCTACGCCTCTGGATTGCAGTGAACTAAGTAAAAGTATGTAAAAAACGATTAACCCAGGAAAAGACCACTGAGATTTACAGTGTAAAGCGACACAAGCTCACCGTCACCAATATATAGGCTATAAAATAAAACACCTATAATATTGGAGGTCCAATGGGAGATGTTCTACACGTCCCTTCCCCCAAACACTCTACCTGCAACACTGCTGGCCTAAATAAGTAACCTGGATTTATCCATGGGCATTGTATTAAAAACGACAGACGAATTTGAAAAGACTCTCTTTATTGGAAATGGTAACTACTCATCACATTACTTTTTCAAAAAAAGGTGCTACTACTTGGTGTCTAAGACGAATCAAATCACTGACGTGCCCAAGATGCCAATGCAATAATCCTCAAGACAAATTTCAACAGTTCAACCATATATATATATATATATATATATATATATATATATATATATATATATATATATATATATATATATATATATATATATGTCCTCCCTCTCCCCTCACACAGGAGAAAAATGTCTGAATGAAACCCTGATTATTGATTATATGTAATCAACTCGTTTAAACAAAGCGGCTAAAGGTAAAAAAAAAATGACAACTAAAAGTACAGTAAAGACATGCGCTAATGGAGTGGAAGAGGTCGAAGACTTGAAATGCCTTGGCAGCCACATTTCAGCTAATGGAGCAACGAAAAAGAAATAGCTACAAGAATAGCTATGGCAGCTCATACCTTCAACAAGCCCGGAAAAAAAACAAGGGATCATCTTCCCTGCAGCGAAGATCTAATGTGGAGATATTTAGATCTTAGTCAAAAACATGTTCAGTTCTGCAGAAACGCAGAAATACAACAAGAAGACAGAAAGCTGCCGTAGAAGTTTCTATAAGGAATAGACGATCCCTTCAACGCATTCTGAAAAGTGAGTGGGAATGTCGAATATCAAGTTGAGAAATAAGGACGACCGAACTAAACGATGTTGTGAGTGAAATAAGAGCAATTAAGAAGGTAGAATATTTGGGTCTTGCCTTGCGAAGGTTTTAAAAAAAGAAAAAAGAAACACTCATATACATAGTTACATGCTACTAGAATGGACTCCACATGGAAAGCGACAGTGGGGAAACCCATTTAGAACGTGAAGACAAATAGAAGAAAGTGTGGCAGAACTCTGGTGGCTCGGCCAGAACAGGGAGGCTTGGCGCGCATTATTTGGCTACCTTATGCCCCACATGTAGTCAAAAGTATTAAGTAAGAGTTTACACATCAATCTTATTGGCTACATCGCCAGGTCTGAAATGGTTGCACATTACTTCTGATATAGAGGGGCATGTTAAATCAAGTCATGTAAGTTGTTGTGGCCGCGGATTTGTCCACTCTTCCGCCCAGACGCCACAGGGCGAGCTGTATGAAAGCCGTGAGTGTACGTTAATCACCCTACCTACGCAACAGAGAGGTAGAACAGACCTCAGCAACCGCCCAGGTGTCAGAGGCGTCGACGAGGTATTCTCTCGTAGCCTACCGTAGCCATAGTGTATGGTGCTCTTTGCAACGAACGTCGTAGTGTGTCCCATGGCGCACCGGGTCATACGACAGTTCGACAGTTGAATCAATTAGTACTCTTGACCCCATATGCAGGACGCCTAAACAGCGGATTCCAGGTGCCAATAATAAAATAGCTGCTGGGAAACTGGGCGCCAAGCTGCACCATACTGCCGGGGTGCCGTGCCGTTGCAGAAACTTTCCAAGGAGTATTCTCCACAAATTCACGAAGTTTCATGTTGATCGGATGAAAGGTGTAGTGATGTATAGAAGATAAACACACAAAAAAATAGATCTACTTTCATTTTTATATATTGGCCGATTTATAAATTTCACATTAGGCTAATGTAATTCTTGAATATTGGCGAAGGCCACATTTTAAAATTTCTCATAGCCAGATCGAGTTCTAGATCTAGGCCTAACTCAGTAAAAATATAATTTAGGCCTATGCTAGCCCTGCTGGACGACATACTCAACCATATTCTCAATCTAAATCGGATTTAGACTTGTATTCTAGCCTTGCATTTTCTCTCCCCCCCCCCCAAAAAAAAAAAAAAACAGCTGCTACGACTAGAGTAGGTCACCTGCGTTGCTGCAAGCCAGGGCGTGGCGGCTGTGAGTTGTCAAAATTCTTTGTGATAGGCCTAAATTAAAAAAAAAAACCAAAACAAAACAAAACATGAGTTCTGTCGACAAACATATGTATTAATAAAAAAATCGAACAGACATGTAGAAAATAAAATTTGCTTTAAAATCTGAGTATAGATCTATATGCTAAACATAAAAACTAAAAGAAAACGAAACAACAAACGTCAAACAGAAACACAGCTCGCTGCAATGTGTGTGTGTGTTTGTGTGATTAGATAGCAGCTCTCACTTTTCAAGTCAGTAATGTGCTGCATGTAGGCTAGAAATCCAGAGTTTAGCATTAGACCTCTCGCTCTAGGACTGGACTATGTTTATGTATCGTGTAAGTGGCCAAGCGCCGGTGTTGACATCTGAGTCCTCGGCCTACAATTTAAATGTAGATTCTAGATCTACTGTAGTAGGATGTTTGCATGACTAAGAATAACTATACTAAAAATTACTAAGATCTAGATCTAGATCTATCACTCACTATCAATATCTTCCAGAGTCTAGAATCTAGAGATCTAATTCTAAATCTATTTAATATTTTTACTATTACTAGATCTATTAGGCCTACAGTTTTACAATTAGATCTAGATCTAGATTCTATATTTAATATTTATTAGATTAGATCTAGACGAATCTAGTATGTAGTAGATAGTAGATCTAAATAATAGTAAATAATAGGCCTAATATATAAATTATAATAGATCTATATATAATATATAAGTTTTTAAAAGCAACAACACCAATGGGAATGTGGTGGTCAGAGTCGTTGTTGTGAGTCATTAAAAAACTGATTTATTAAGATTTACATTTCAGTTAGATCTAGTTCCTGGAATTCCTCAATCATAGTAAATATTATCAAGACCCTTTTAATACATCTTACTCAATATCCATAGCTTGACTTCAAATGTACTGAGTTTTTAGCTAACGAGTTTATCTTTAACTTAATAACCTAAGATTGTGTAAGAAATGTTTGAGGATAGAAAATTGTTGTTTTGAATAATCGGCAATAATCAGCTAATCTCCTTATATAGATGATTACCTAAGTAACCTTGGCAACTATGACAAACAAAATGTAAAAGTTAAAGTTTTTTTATTTGTGTTGTTCTCAGGTGTGCACCTAATGGCTGAAAAAATTTGAAAAGAAAAAGATGAATTCACAATGTGATATGGTAACGCAATGACCAACAAAACCTGTGAATCTTCAACAGTGTTGTAACTGAAATAGTTGAAGTACTGCAGATTTCTTTTGAGTGAATAGATGCCATGCCCAGTTGGAGACCCAATTGTCTGAGGGGGTCTATTTACAATGGTGAGTTCTGTTTTTTTTTTTCATAAATAAAACATTATATATAGATCTATTGAATGTCTTTAACTAAAACAAACCCTCCATCCAGATTTGAAGTTGTACAATAAAATAATTCTTGTGGATTATATACAAATGCAGACAGGAAATCCAGTATCATGAGATGTTTTAGCTGGTTAGGGCCAGCGATTAGGACCAGAGTTTATTATGTAGATGAAATTGATGTTTCATTTGTTTAATTTACACATGATTAATCTTGTTTTAGATGCGCCACACTACAGCATTGTTCCAAAGGCAGACAACTCCAATCAAGACATTAATCGTAAGTGATAAGATTAGCATTATGAGACATTTTTTTTAAACATGCATAAATTTGAAGTGTTTCTCAAGTAATGTTTTATATTTATTAAATAATTAATTTCAACATAATCTTTTCTTGTTTGTGCCCAAGACGCATGGAGCAGATGAAGTAGAGTTCATCTGTTTCAGTAACCTGAGCATACAAGAGTGTGTGGTCAGCACTACACCCCAATGCCTTAGTTTCCCTGACATGATTCAGGTACCCATCAGAGCTGAGTGGACTCTGAGTCATCCTACTGACTTGACCTCAGGATCTGAACTCAAGACTTTTGGGTTAGCAGTTGTAAATAAATTAAAAAGACCTAAGTGATGAAATTATTTTCATTCCAGCTGACCGCAAAGGAAGTATTTTGGTTGAACTACAGAAAAGAGAAGGATGTGGACTAGGATTAACAATTTCAGGTATGTCTTTTCTTTTGTTAATGAAAGTAAATCTTACACTGGTTGGCTGTTATTATTGATAATCTAGATATAAAGTGTTTCTGGAGTAATATCTAAAGCATATGGACAGGGTTATTCAGTGGAATCTAGACCAATGAGATACTGAACAATTTTAAAATAGTTTTTTTGATAAGGGAATAGTTAAAGCTAAATAAAAAATTTAAAAAGGCTAAACCAGAGGTAAGGTCTAGTTGTGTGAAATTTATACATATCTTTTATGGCTTCTGATTAACATTGTAGGTGCTAATTGTATTTTTAAATAAAGACCAATTTTCTCACATAATTACAATTATAGGTGGTGCAGACAAAGCTCATCGTTGTCATGTCTCTAATTTACGTCCAGGAAGTGTTGCAGACAGGTAAGTTTGTTATATTATGATACAAATTTAAACCCAGAAATTGTAAGCTAATTATCAGCCTCAAGTAGTTACCAATGCCATGTGACTACTTTAATTCTCACATTTCTAACATTGGAGGCTTATATATTTCATTAAAAATATTTTTACTAGTTATGATCTGTAAACTATGTCTTTGTTTGTAAATGGCCCTATATGTTGAATATTGCAATTGGAATAAGATTGGACAAATGCAGTTTAAAAAAAATAAATTGTAATATATATTTTTTACCTAGCAAGATACTGTTATTTCCAAGTTTGTTTTCTTGTTTTCATAATCATTAGCCTCTCCTCTCCTGTTTCAGATGTGATGCACTTAGAGTTGGCGACCAAATTATTTCTATCAATGACATCAGAACTGCAAATCTGCGACATGAGGAGATCACCAATCTACTTAAAAATGCTGGGTCCACTGTGACGCTTGAGATAGACTATGAAATACCTGATTCAGGTATTTAAATCTTAACAATGCAGTGTTTATAAAAATCTAATTTTTTTGTCCACAGTTGTCTTTGCAATGTTATAGTTATAGGATTAGTTTACACTTAAAAGTTTAGCCTTCAATTTATAATTTGAAGCTTATAGTCGTGTGTTATGTGTATACTCTGCATATTTTTGAAAATGTGTCTGTACTGTATATACATTTAAATTTGAAGAAATTGAACTATGTATAAGTAATTGTTCAAATTGATGTGTAATTTTTTAAATAGGTTCAGGCCTTTCAAATGTTTATAGTCAAGTTCATGAAGTCATTTTAGAAAAAGAAGTTTCTGGATTTGGGATGATTCTCCGTGGTGGAATGGTGGACGCCAAACGAACATACCCAATCACAGTTGTTGTTATTAGACATGGTGGGCCAGCTGACAGGTAAACATGAGGATAGGTTGGTCAGTCAATATGTTAATATGTAGATACTTTGGTCAGTCAATTTATAGGTTGGTCAGTCAATATGTTAATATGTAGATACTTTGGTCAGTCAATTTATAGGTTGGTCAGTCAATTTGTTAATATGTAGATACTTTGGTCAGTCAATTTATAGGTTGGTCAGTTAATTTTTTTGGCATGTGCATAGGCTGGTCAGTCAATTTGTTGATACGTGGATAGGATGGTCAGTCCAGTTGTTGATTTGTGGATATGTTAGTCAGTCAATGTGTTAATGTGTGCATAGGTTGGTCAGTCAATTTGTTAATACATGGATAGGTTTGTTAGTTAACTAGTAAATATGTGGATAGGTTAATCAGTTAATTTGTTGGCATCTGGATAAGTTTGTCAGCTAACTGATTAAGCTGTTTTGTAAAGATGAGTTGACTTGTAAACATTTTGAAAGATTTATTTTTTGTTAGCTCAGTTGTAAACACAACTATGTGAACTGACATTTGGTCATCATGACCACTCCAATTTAGGATTTAGTTTTTAAACAGTCAATGTACTTGTGGGATTTGACAAGTGTAACATTTATGACAAGCTAAACATTTTTTGACAAGTTACACAACTTTTATACTAACATTTTTAATCACTCAAGGGAGGGAAGTATCCGAGTCGGAGATCGAATCAATGCCATCAATGGGTACAAACTTAATCATCATAGCCTTCAAGACATCATGGGGATCTTGTCACAGTGTGAATCATCTGCATCGTTCACTGTCTCATATGATGTGGCTATTGTTGGTAAGTTCATCTTTAGTAGGGGATCTTGTCACAGTGTGAATCATCTGCATCGTTCACTGTCTCGTATGATGTGGCTATTGTTGGTAAGTTCATCTTTAGTAGGGGATCTTGTCACAGTGTGAATCATCTGCATCGTTCACTGTCTCGTATGATGTGGCTATTGTTGGTAAGTTCATCTTGAGTGGGTATTGAATCAGATCATACTAGTTAAAAGAAGTCTTACAATTTCTTAATTCTTCTGTATTATTTTTTTCAAGTTCAACTAAACAAATATGTGTAATGTGTAATTACATTTTAAATTAATTGAATTTCAGCAATAACAAATAAAATTCAAAGCATCTTATATTTGATACTAAATGATTTTAACACTATTAGCTGATTTCAGCACTTTTGGTATTTTGACAGTAGTATGCTTAACTGGCTATTGATCAACTTTAATTTTTTACTTCTTTAATTATGTAGCTATTGTTTGTGGCCATTCATTCATTGTTGCAGTCGGATGGTAATAGTATAGTCTTTATAAAAGTCACCAGTATTTGTTGTAAACTGATTTGTGTAGACATTGTTTTTGAAAAACAACTGCCTGATGAAAAAATCTTTGAATGAAAACTTGCAGATGAAGTAGAGAAGGCTACTGGTCCAGTCATGGTCAAGGTTGAAAGACCACCAGGGGTAGCTATAGGGATAACTCTGTCAGAGGCCAAGCATGAGGGAAAACCATGCTTAAACATTGACCATGTCTCGCTGATGAGTATTGCTGACAGGTAAGACATTTTTGTGTATGCCTTCTTTCTTTGCTTACGATATGGCGGTCTTTAATATATCTTTGGTAATCTTTATTGTATGTGGTTTACAGTGGAGTTGATTGTTTGTGGGTGTGTATTTAGTTGATTGTTAGTTGATTTTATATGGGTAAATATATGTATATGGTTGAATATCTAATTGGTTGTTTATAATTGAACATCTAGCTTGTTGTTTATGGTTGAACATCTAGCTTGTTGATTATGGTTGAACATCTAGTAGGTTGCTCATAGTTTACCATCCATTTAATTGTATGCAAGTTGACACCTACTTGACTGTGTTTCAGGTCAGGTGTGTTACACCCCGGGGACCTTATCATGGCAATAGATGGCGTAGAGTCTATGTCTGAAGCTGAGGCCAGCCAGAGACTCAAGTCTGGCACAGAGAATGTCATTCACTTTGAAATTTTACCATCTTCATTACTGGAGAATTCCATTCATCAGAATAATCTTAAGAAGAACTGTAAGTTTCGTTTTTAATATGGTAATTGCTTAGATTTAAGATAATAGGCTAGATATATGTTTCAGTAAAATATTTGACATTGAACTTAGATATAAAGCAGCTGACTACTGTCACTCTTCATATGCTGTGGTCAAGAAACAGATAAACTGTATTTCATCTGCCCTATAGATTGTTAGGTCCAAAAGGGGAATTTAACTTTTAGATATACAACCCTGCATGTTTAAGTAATAATACATTTCTTATTGGCAAATCAACCAAATGTAGTATCATTGGCACTCACTTCACTTACTGTACTATTTGTCTCAGGTTTTTAAGTTATATAGAGAACTAATGTTTAAAATGAAACCACTAATTGCATAATGAAAAATCTTTCAAAAAAAATTATTTTCCTGTTTTATAAACTAGTTTGTGTTACATGACTTTTAAGTTTAATATTCTAGCATTGAGTAAAATTCATGTTAGTACAAGCTATAAAGGTGCATGCATTTTTTACTTGCCCTTCACTGTACTACACATAGTTGGACCCACACCTGGACCTTGTGTCTAAGTTTATGTTGACACTAACTTGTTGATTTCCCAGCCCTGTCGTCATCCCTCTCTGCGCATGCCCTGCCCTCAGCCTACTGCAACATCCCCTACAATGTTATGCGCAACAAAAGCAGCACAATAGGGGGCTACGCTGACCACACTGGAGGCTACTTTAAGAACTTTACAGACAGCTCCTCTGTGGGGGTGTCGCAGTTTGGCACATTAAACATGAGAAAAACAAACCTGTGGAGGAATCCACATCAGCGTAGGGCCGCTTCCTGCAGTAAGTGTTTCACAGTATTAAAAATCAACATTCTTAACCTTGTTTGTGCAGTAATTATTGATCTAATATTATTTTTGCATAATTCAAAAGCTATGCTAATACTATACTAAAAAACTAATAAAATAACTGACATTTTCGCAATTTTTAAGAATATATATTAAAACAAATGTCAACCATCCCTTGTGCCAATTGCATCACTAAATATATTTTTTACAATTTCTGAGAAGAAAAAAATAAAAAATTAAACTATCCTCTGTGCCCATAAAATATATTTTTCACAAACTCCGACAAGAAAAAATTAAAATGAAATTGAACTGTCCACAGTGTCCATTGCATCATCATGTGCGTCAGTTTTGAGTGCCACCAACCAAGTTTGCCACAGTGAGAGCCTGGAAGTCATTCTCTTTGCCAACCACAAGGGTCTGGGCCTGACCCTCAAGGGTGGTGTTTTCGCAACAGCTCCACTGTCCCAGCCACCTAGTATTACATTTGTTGAGCCTCGCAGCCCTGCAGAGAAGTAAGAAACTCTTCGATTTTATCAATTATTACAATTATTACACTTACAGTAAACTTCAAGCTACGTTTCTGGATAATAGCTACTTATCTAGAAGATGGTTACATATTTTTTAGTGTAATGTTTATCAAGTCCAACTTAAAAATGAGTAAGACAGCAAGTCATTTAATAATTGTAACCAAATTTGTTGTTAAGATGTGGTGTTTTGCAGTTTCTAGATGGTTGCATGTTTTTAGTTTTAGTGTAATGTTTTTTCAAGTCTCCAATTTAAAAACTAATAAGACAGCAAGTCATTTAATAATTGTAACCAAATTTGTTGTTAAGATGTGGTGTTTTGCAAGAGGGGGACAGAGTGCTGGCCATCAATGGTGTGGAAACTACAGGACACACATTGGAGGAAGTTAATCATCTGCTGCGGGAGTCTCGACCAAGATGTCTCTTGCTTGTTGAATTTGATGTCACAGGTACAACTGTCTACTTTACGTACTTGTCATGGAACTACAGTATTCTTTATAGCTTTGTTTATCTCTGATTCATCACCATTTTCCAATGGTTAGGGCCAAGGATAGGTATCAGATTTTTAAAGTAGCTCTCCCAGGAAACAAAAGGACCAAAAGTTCAAAATATTGAAACATTGTCTTTAAACTCACAAGTTAATTTCTTCTAAATGACGAAATGTATTCCATAGTATTTTGTAAGTTGATATTAAAACGAAATGACTTTTATTTTTTTCATCAGATTCTGTGACTCCCAGCTCAGGTGTATACTTTGTGAAGCTGGGCAAGAGAGCTGGTGATACTGGGATAACTGTTAATGGTGAGATGTTTTTTCGTAGAAATTAAGTCAGACAAATTATGTTAATCTAAGAAAATATTTCCCCCTAGACCAGAGTTATCTAATAAAAAGTTGTTATATTCGGGGAGAAGAGAGGGAGGGTTACAGTCTCTACAATACTTGAGGGCTAAAGTTCTGAGGTGCTGGATGCCTGAAATTTTCTTTGTTGATTCATGATGATACCAACTAGGCATTAAAACAGAAAAATGTTGATTGTTAATTAATTTGAAAGTAACTTGACTGAGGAGCAATAATAAATAGACAAAAACTGACATAAATTAGAATGTTTAATGCTTAATTTATGTTTGTGTATATTTTTTTAGCTGAATGCTTTAATAATAAATCTTTTAAAATGAATTCTTTTAAACTTTAATAAGGTTCAATTTTTTTTTCACTCACCTGATCATTCAGCTACTCCAAGCAAGCAAGGTAACAAAGATGTGATGTTCATATCTGACGTGAGGAGGGGTAGTGTTGCTCACAGGTAAGTTAACTTGAGCACCTGTCCACATTATGTCCCACCAAGGTGAGGGTCTGTCTTGACATTCTCTACCTTCTCCCCCACAGAACTGGCTCCATCCAGCCTGGGGATAAACTTCTGGCCATCAACGATGTCAGCCTTGAGAATTACTCACCCGATGATGTCATGCATCTGTTGGAACTTCCTGATGATATTGTGAAATTAAAATTAAGGCGTGATGACCCAGGTGCGTTGTGTCACATTCTAATCTTCATTTGCTTTTTCCTTTACCCTCTCAAGGGAAGATAGGGCTGAGATCACTTACATTGACCAACTTAATCAGCAGATATTCTCATTTTACTTAAGCATCCCATACACCACTTTCTCAATTGATCTCTTCCAGAACACTATGTTGACAATTTTCCCTCCTGTTCTCAGTGCAATGTTTGTGAAATACTTTTTTACATCATTGCTCTGTGTTAATTGATCACAGCTCTAGTGCCATCTGTGGGACGGAGTGGTCTAGCGGTAGAGAGCTGGACTGCTAACCCGTAAGTTTCGAGTTCGAATCCGGGTACAAGTCAGTAGACCATCCCTGAGTCCACCCAACTCTGATGGGTACCTAACTCACATTAGGGAAAGTAAAGGCGGCTGGGCATAGTGCTGACCACACTATCTCTTCATATGCCGAGGTCACAGAAATAAGTGAACTCTACTTCACTTGCCCCATAGACCGTCAGGTTTGAAAGGGAAACTTTTAACTTTTGCTAGTGCCATCTGCAAATTAAACAAATTTAAAATGTATATTTGTGAGCGTATTCTTGTGGGGAAGATGAATTGAATGAATCTGTTGACAGATGAGGGACATGAAGGCTGCATTATCTACACAGTGGAGCTCCAGAGGTTTGGTGGGCCTCTGGGCATCACAATATCTGGTACTGAAGATCCCCTGGATCCTATCATTATATCTGAGCTTACCCCCCTTGGATTGGCTGATAGGTACAATTATACTTTTCATTTGTTCAAATCTTTTTATTAGCTTTGTTTGCTTTGTAACTGTTTACAAAATGTATTGCTAATAATAAGTAGTTGTTGTAGGAAGAGTTATTTTGATCTAATAAAAGTTTTATTACTCAGTTTTGTTACTAATAATATATTAAATAATATATTAACTATATAAAATGTCTGTTAAATTTCATTCTAAAATTTATTGTCCTTGTTGTGTATAGGCCAATTTTTGATTCTGTACTTTGAAATGTTCATAAGTTTAAAAAAAATGCTAAAAGGACATGTAATATTTATATATCAATAGTGAACAGCTTGGGGTTATGGTTGTAGTTAAGGACAAGGCTAGGGTCAGGGTTGTAGTTAGGGATTAGGCTAAATCTCACAGGTGTTAAATAAGTAGGCCTACCTTTTGATTTTTATCTCATTTTCTAAGTTGAAAATACTTTTAAATTTTATTTTAGAACTGGTGCCATTCATGTTGGGGACAGGCTTTTAGCTGTCAGTGGCGACACAACTAAAAACAAACCTCTGTCTGAAGCCATACGTATGCTACAAAGTGCTGGTGATGTGGTGACACTTAAGATTGCTAGGCCTGACCCCAGCATTGGTAAGTAGCTGATTCTCACATCTCTCTTGTTTCAGTATACAGATCGACTCCTTCAATTACAAACACTTTGAGTTAATTAATTTCAATCATGTATCTAAATCATGATTTTTTATTTAAAGATATAAAATGTATAGAATATTAAAATAATACACAATTTCCCTGTTAACTAGTTTTTAAATAAAGTTTTTTGATAAAGAGTTTTACTAAATATACATTTCCTTTTGTATAAGTCTAATATTTGAGTTTTGTTTCTGTTTTTCAGACAGCAGCCATCATTATCTGCACCCGGTAAGAACATTTTGAACTACTTTCTTAAATTAAATTTACATCACATATTTGACCTTAAACCCAGCATTTGAATAGGTTTACTGGTTTATCTATCTAACATTATCAGTTTAAAACACATCTAACAGACCAACTTAATGCTAAAATGTCTTTGTGCATTTTCATAGAAATGTGTGTAGTTGTAGAGCAACAATGCAGGTGTTTTAGAGAATAAGAGATGTGTTCATAGTTGGTGACCTTTAAATAGTTTTTTTTTGCTATGTTACCCAATAGGGGATCACTAGCAAGGGGTCTAGACTGTAGGATACTGGGATGTTTTTTGTCTGAACCTTAGGTGAAATAACAGTATCTAAAAGAAGGTGTCGTCATCCACCTCCGTAAATGATACCACATAAACATCCATTGGTACAGATGGGTCATAGTAACCTGTACAAGAACTTCAGCATAACTTTTTCAATGCACCCAACCTCCCACCATCACTGTCACAATGAGAAGTTTATTTTATTAAGTTTATTTCCTTTTGCAGTTTGGCCTGAAAGCCAACTGGGGCAGCACAGCAATCCCTAGCATAGACAGTGCTGTGGCATCCTGGAGCAGCTCAGTTCATGACATGTCTGTACATGAGAACCTCACAGGTCAGTGATGATTTAATTACAAGGTGTTCAGTACTCTTGACCACAGGTCAGTGCTGGTGTAATTACAATGTTTTTAGTACCCTTAATGGCAGAACAGTGTTGTATTCAAGAAGTTTCAAGTCCTTAGATCTCAAATATTTTTTTAATGCAGCTTACAAACCATTGTTTCGAAGAAATACTTTCTAAAACATTGTTTTTTAAGAAAAGATGTTGCCAACCTTGTTGTAGTATTTACTTGTGACCTGTCTGTACAATAAAATAACTAGTTTTTGTTTCGGAATTCCTATTTTCAATTTCCCACTTAGAATATCATTCAAACTTAACTCTGATTTATAAATTGTAATCTGAGTAATTGCATATCTTTTTTCAGATTCTTGCAAGAAAGTGGACAACGCTTCAGATTGGGACAGAGACTCTCACAGCAGGTAATACTTACAAATATTTCTTCAATCTACTAGAGTAATGTCTGTTTGCTTGTTAACTTTGATAGTGTTGCAAATTGTGTTGACATGATTTAAATAAAAATTGAACAGCTCATCAGACCTGAAAAGGGAGCAGAAGGATGAAGATGACATGGAAGAATGGGTGAAAACATTGAAAGATTTCGACATGGGCAGTGAGTCTGAAATGTTACAGCAGATTGGTCTCAGCTTGAAGGAACGAAATCATTTGATAGAGTCTGGTCCTTCTGAAAATGGAGGAGCACATGAAAATGGAAATACATCTAAAAATGGAAGTGCTCCTGAAAATGGATGCCCCCCACCACTCCCAGCTAAAAGTGATTCTTTAATAAACAGGATCAAACAATCTGCTAAGTCACAAAATGACCATACAGCCAAAACAGATTCTGCCAGTAAAATAACAGCGGTCACCACTAAAAGGTATGACCCCCCGCCAGTCCCAGCCAGTAAAACCACATCCAGTGTCAACAAAACCTCAGACCAACCACCTGCGACTGCCAGTAAAACCTCACGAGGACCACCACCCCCCATCAAACCCAAGCCAAAAATTGCACCAAAACCAGTTGCTAAATCTGGCCACATTCACACCATCTACACCCCAGCACCCATCCAGCTGCAGAGGGTGAAGCTAGAGAAGACTTGTGTGACGGAAGATTTTGGTTTCTCCTTGTCTGATGGGCTCTATGAAAAAGGTGTCTACATCAGTGGGGTAAGGGAAGGCAGTGTAGCCCACAAGGCAGGGCTGAAGGAACTAGACAGAGTCTTACAAGTGAGTATGGAATTTGTTTTCTTTATGCTTATAAATCCCACTTTCAAAGGTGAGCATAAAAAATAAGTTGAAGATAGCTCACCAGTTGCTGTGACCTCGGCATATGAAGGGATAGTGTGGTCAGACGCTAGTTCACCAGTTGCTGGGACCTCGGCATATGAAGGGATATTGTGGTCAGCCGCCTTTATTTCATTTTCTTAACATGAACCAGAAACCCATCAAAGCTGGGCAGAGTCAGAATGTCTAATGGACTCTAGTCTGGGATTTGAACTCAAGACTTCTAGTTTAACAGTTATACACTTTGGCATTTGACCACAGTGTTACATTTCACTAACAGCTTTTTTTTTTGGGTAAATTTTGCTATTTATTTTTCTTTTTGCCTATTTATTTTCTTAGGTTTGTTTGCTCGGCTTATTTCTATGGTGACAATTTGTTTTCTTCATGATGTTTAGAAAAACAAATTATTTCCTTACAAATTTAAAAAAGATTCAAAATCCTTAAGAAAATACAGAAACACTAAATATCACATTCTTATAAGCTACGTAGTCTAGTCAGGAGCTGGTGAGATGTGTCTGTTCTCTGCCTCAGGTGAACCGTGTCAAGACAAGAGACTTTGACTGCCGGCTGACTGTGCCACTGTTCTCCCAGTCTGACAAGAGGGTGACGCTGATTGTTTGTAGAAACCCTCTGCTGCTCCAGGACAAGGGCACAGAAGATACAACAAATGACTCTTGAAGCTACTCAAAAAATAAACCTTTGTTTACAATGTTGATAATGATATTACTGGCATATATAGTTAAGCTAGTCATTTGACAAAAATGTTATTTCAGAACATTTTGTTAGGAATATTTACTGACCAGATACACAGTCAAGTTTACTTTTAATATTAAATAGTAGTTTTTTTATCCAATGTTTTAGAAGATATTTTGCTTAACTCTAGTAACAAACTGTTGCTAATAACAGTAGTTCTACTTTTTTATTTGATGTAGAGCTTTGGACCAAACCATTTAGTGTTTGAATTTTTTTAATGATATTTTGAAATCCTACCTTTGTGTTGATGTGTGTTTCTCTGAAGGGCAGGCAATTTTATACAAGTTAATTGATAATGACTATTGTCTATCAAAGAATAATGAATTAAGTCATTCATCTCTCAGATGAATGACTTAATTCATATCATTATACAAAATTCATAATTAAGGATAATTCATATTTTTCTTAACTAGAAAATACTCAGACTTTTTGGTATGAAAAGTATTTTTTTTTAAGTTATTTATTTTTTAAAATAATACTCTGAATTTAAAATATTTTTTTAGAAAAATCAGTAGCCAGCTATCATAAACTATTGCCAAAAGTTAATCTCACACTCCAATTATTTCTAGTCTCATGCAAGTTTTATATTGTAACTTGCTTCATTATGTTTAGTTTTATGTCTAAATTGAACTAGTGAAAGAAATGGTTGGCTTAATTTAATTCATACCTCCCTCCTTACAATCTTTGTAAATAGAGAGGCTGGTGACTGCTTTTAAAATTAGGAATCTAGAAATGTTTCTGTAATTATGTATAGAAGATTTTTAAGATTTGATCTGTTATTGTGTAGGAACAATTTGAATTTTTACATACTTTCTTTCATTGCATCTTGTTTCATTAATATTCTCCGTTAATTTATTTTTAATATTGGCCCTTGGTTGAAAGTCTTTCTCTTACTGTGTTATTGCAATTTATTTGTTGATGTAGACATGTTGTCGAGCCTTACAGTAATTTCTGTAATTTGCTACAGGATGAAATAGTGTTCACAGTTCATACATTACTGTAAACATGAACTGATAGACATGGACCAATAGACACGAATCATCTAGGCATGAACCAAGGGATGTTCACATGGACGTTGACAATGACTGTGACTTATTGACGTGGACCATGTCACATGAACCAATGGACACAGACCAAGTGACATGAACAAAGTAAAATGAGCAAACTAACATGAATAAACTAACATGAACAAAATAACATGAATAAACTAACATGAACAAAGTGACATGAACTAACAAACATGAACAAACATTAAAATTAACCAAATTTCAAGAAAAAAATTAACATGATCAACAACGCATAAGTAACAAAGTAATAAGTCTAAAGTGGCAAAAAGGGCAAATGAACAAAACAAAATGAACTATATTATAATATTAATGTCAAGACAGTGGGCTTGTAACATTGTCTTAAGGTAAATACTTACTGTTAAACATGAGAAATCCTTCCAAAACTGCACTTAAAACCACTGACTTACTTTAAATCATTATTGTGTTGACTCTAATCCATTCATGATTCATTTTCAACTTTACCCATAACCTAACCGTCCCTGGCTCTAAAAACTAGACTACAAATGCCTTTTTACTTTTTACACTTGAGCTTAACACTAACATTGACCACTGGAATGAAGCTGTCTGTGCAATATAAAGTCCGGGTCTTTTTTGTTATTGCCAGCTTGATTTTTTTTTGTCAGGGGATTATGCAATAACTTTGTCTCCAGTTGTTTTAATGCCTTGCTTACATTTTGATGTGATCACGTTTTTCTTTTAACTTTTTCAACTGCCTAATATTTTTTATCTTATTTTAATCTAATTTGTTACAAAAGGAAATTCATTTTGGAAGTCTTTTTGTGCCTCTTCAGAATTTTTTTCAAACTTAATTACTTCCAATTTTGTAATTAAAAAAAAGTAAATAATAAAAGGTGTGTAAAATGAGAAGTTGTTGATTATTTGCTAATACTGGAATTGTCACAGGTCACCTGAGTTAAACAAAAAGAATTTGGGTAAAAATGGGCATTAATTTGCCTAATGAGGATTTTATTAGTGTCATGAACAAAGAGTTGCCTTAACTCAACATTACCCTTTGTTTCGCTAAAGGATCATCATATTTAAACCATGTAAAAGAAGTTCCAATTTGGGAAGAGTTACAAAAATTACACAACAGAAATATGTGGATTGCTATAGAAAGGTAGAGCATAGGACTGCTACCTGAAAGTTTTGAGATCAAGTCCACAGAATGTCCCTGAGCCCACCCAGCTCTGATGGGTACTTGGCTTATAGAAAGTAAAGGTGACTGGGCATAGTGCTGACCACACTGTTTTCACATTTTGAGGTCACAGAAACAGGTACTTCACTTTCCCTATGGGTCCTCTGGTTTAAAAGGCAACTTGACTTACAGATGTCTAAACATCGCCAACTTGTTTATGGCCATTCACCGTTCGACAGTATGTAACATAACTAACCCACATGTAAACAACAATGAAATAAAAACTCTGTTGGTACAAAAAAAATATTATTGTGCACCTAAGACAAACAAAATTCTTTCAACAAGAAAAAAAATCTTATTGCACCATTAATAATTGGAACAAATAAATATTAAATTGTTCCATGGCTAATATTACAGATAAATCTTTGCCTGTGATAATGTTCAATATTTAAATATGGAATGCTAAAAAGAAATTTTTCAATTTTACACTCAGGTCAAAAATAATTATATTAAACCCTCTGATGCATGGAATTTGTAGACAATTAAATTCCAGTAATTTGGCAATGGTTAAAATAAAAATAATCACATTGAAAATTTAGCTTGATAATAGAAAGACAAGAATTAATACTAGAAACTATAATTAATCTGGATAAATGTATCTACTTTTAATTACTACATTAGCTTTGAATAATACATATTTAAAAGGGTCAACATAGAAATGAAAATTCATCAGTGTAAAAATGTAATTCTGTTTAATAACTATAATATTTAACACTTTGATCATTGGAATTTGTATAAAGTTAATTTGGCAATGATTAAAATAAATAAAACAACCACATGGAGAATTTAGCTTTCTAAATATAGAAATAGAAAAAATTGATACTGGAAATTTTTTTTACAAATAGCTAAATTTTATATACTTTTAGATGAAAAATACTTAAAAAAGATAAAGATGAAAAGTCATCAGTACAAAAATGTAATTCTGTTTAACTTTAATTAAAAGGAAAAAAAAATCATCACTATGTCATGTATATGATCAATCATAACCAATAAATACTAAAGTTTGATTTTTCGTATTTGTTTTTGATGCTTGTATTAGTGTTATAAAAACAAACATGGAGATGTGACCTGACTTTGAAATAAAAACTTTGTACCAGCACCAGTATAAGCACTTTACAAACATACTTCATCACAATAACCTACTCAATAGACACTAAAGTACTAAATAATAGCTTGAACTATTACTATGAAAGCTCCTGACTTAGATATTATATCCCATTTTTTTGTTTTGCCCGTATAATTATAATGAAATGTATAACAGGAAGAATTGGACATTGAAATACATTTAAAAAAATTAACCTTGGGGGAATGAAAGGAAGAAGCTGCTAAATTTGCTTGATAGAAAAAAAGCTGAAAAATTCAAGTCTGGTGATTTTTAAAATAAATTAGCAGAAATACACCAAAATTTGAAAACATAAAATTTTGGCATGTGAAAATCTAAGCGTGGGTGGGGATGTGAGTAAAACAACAACTTTGTAACAGCAACTTTAGCACCATGATAAACAGTACATTTCTTCCAAAAAGCTCCTTCATGTGGCTGACCAAATGCATCAACCACATGCTTAAATTTATGACACACTTTCAAGAATAAATAATTCCATGTTTAAAATCTAGACTTTAAATGCAGCCTCAGAACAGCACCAATGCCAGCCTACACAACATGGAAGCCGCATACAGACAACTATGCCTGCATGGATGTAATTCATAACCAAATGTAAAATGGTTATCAAACATGTTTAAATAAATAAAGTTTGTTCTGAACTTGTAGTTTAACATCTGGGTGAAAATAATTGAGGAACAGTTATGCTTGGTCAAAAGACCTACACAGACCTCTGCTCCTGTCAGGCTGACAGGCAGGCAACCCTCGCTAGACTGACTGCAACTGTTCTTTCATAAAAAGGTGGTTTTCAACACAAGTTTATGAGACATGTAGAAAAAATGAAAGAAATAAAATTGTACAAGGTGACTTTAAATATAAATAAGATAAAAAAATTCTGTTCTCTGTATCACATATGACAGCAGGGAAAATACAACAGATCTTTTGATGTAGCTAACATTGAATTAACATCAAAGCAAACAGGTTAAACAGAAATATAGGAAAATACACAAATACTTTATCTAATCATTAACTATTCACAAATATTTCTCTAAAAATTTTTTTTCAAATAATTTTTTTATCAAAGAAAAATACCTTGCCTGTCAAGTTTACTATTTGTTTTAAAAAACCCACCAAAGTTTGAGTTTCTATTGATTTTCCCAGAGATAAAATAAACATAAACACTGCTTCTGTTTACAAATAAATTACTAGAAAATTGTTACAAAAATATAAAACTATACACATGACAGCTGTTCTGTGTGACACACAACAAGGCACTGTGCACAAACAGGTCTAAAAATAACTAGACATCCCACAATGCTCTGCTGAGTTCTTTTTTTCATTTGTCACTGTCATAAGCAGAGCAGCAGGTGGGGCACTGGAGACTGTCATGTCTGTTTGATTCCTCCACACCCCTGCCAAACAACTTGATCAGCTGACAGTGCACCCTGGTTTAAACAAACAAAAAAAACTATGGTAATGCTGAGCAATTTTAAAGTTTATATTGAGTTGCCTGCTCTTACTACTACTTGTGTGGTAATCAAGGAAGAAAGGGAGACAACAATGTTTAACTTCACAGCATCTAACTACTAAGGTATATAAACCCAGGCAGGCCTCTATAGACAAACATGTTTCAATAAAATCAAGCAACCCAAATGTAAGATAAGTGATACTCACTGGATGTATAAAGATGGGTGATCAAAAACTTCACCATCACAATTCCAACAACTGTTAGAAGCAGACGTCATGCGGGTGTGGCCAGATTTTTTCATGGCACAGCCACCTGAGTCCTCAAAGCATTCCTCTGGCTCAGTAGCTGGCTGGAAACAGAATTCTTTCACACGGTAGACTTGGATGAAATCAAAGTCAAACTGGAAGAATCAAGAAATGTCGGAAAATATAAAATAATCTGTCTCACTTTTATATATAAACCAGCTGAATCTAGAATCTATTTTGAATAAAATACTTAACCCTTTCAGCCCTGAGCTATTTTTTGCCCTCTATTTCCCCAGTCTTGCATGTTACTTTATAATAATTCCCTCATGCTCATTTTTTTACCATGTAGATAATGCTTGTTGGGTTAGATAAAGATGAAGTATTTTTTTTTTGGATAATTATGAATAATATGTAGAAAATTATTTGAGTGAAACTGAACATAGATGAAAATTTATAAACTGAATGTGATAATAGCATTATAATACTTTATTGTAAATATTACACATGAAAGAGGGAAATTCTTGTCTGGGCATGAGGTAGTGGAGTTGAGAAATGGACTTTTTGTATTGAAACAGTGGGTGTAAGGAAGAGAAATGAAAAAGTATGCATCCAGGGCTGCAAGTGTTATCAAGATACAGTAAAACTTAAAATTTCTGATGTTGTAAAAGTGTGAAAAAATATTTTTGTGGTTTGCAGCAGTACAAAGTACCTGATCAGATCGGCTGTCTGGTATCCGTGCCAGATGTCGTAGGTAATCCAGCCTGGAACAATCTTGAATTAGGATGAGATCCATGCATCCATCCCCCAGGTGTGAGGATGGTGACATGCCCTGTGGGCTGAGACTGCAGCGGCAGCTGATTGTCACCAAATTTATGGCACTAAATCTTCCTTTCACGTGGTGCCATCCATCCTTCACTGAAAGAGAGCAAAAATTGTTTGCTTTTTTTTACTACCAAAAACAACAAAGTTTTTATTTTATAAATGTAAATGGCAAAACAATTATTTTAAGGGAAAATGGTTCTATCTATAAAAAAAAAATTAACATTTTGGTGACATTTGAAAATTTAAAATCTTCAAAAAGAATACAAATTAACACATTGAATAAGGGAGATGTCCCACTCAACAAATGTAATAGCCAAATGCTTTAAAAATAAGGCAGCTTACACATAAAATTGGCTCTCCTGTGGGCAGACAAACCCTCACTAGCAGCACCCAAGTCCAGCTCGATTTGTGAGCTTGATGTAAGCTCACTTCTCATCCCAGCCTTACGGCACTTCTCACAACTAAACATGGAAATCATTAATCAATCAATGTAAAGTCATGTCATGAATGTCATGGTGCAAACCTATACCTTTAAAAATATTAATAAGATTTGTATAAAATATGTACACATTTGCAAATAAAAAAGAAAATGATATTAAAGTACTAATTTTCTCTTCATACTTTTTTCTAAGCCCCTGTGATGAAAGAATGATCAGCTACTTCATTTCACTTGAACACTTACCCTGCGTAGCAAACAGTGTGATCCCTAGGGTGGCTATCCTCCTCAGATGCCAAGAGGAAAGATACTTCCCCCTCATATGCCTTGTTAGCTAAGAAGGTTTTGAAACCTGGCAAGTTGAAGCTACATGTTAGTAATGGCACAGTATAAAACAAAATGCTAAAACTTTTTAGAGATAGCCATAGAGTGAGACTTAGTTTAAACTTTCACATATATTCCCTGACTGTATACAGGTAGCAGCATAAGGGTCAGCGGAGGAATAGAAACAGAAAAGACGAAATATTTAAAGAAAGAATTAACTGTGTCGATAACAAACTTTCATGCATTTTTTGAAAAACAAAAACATATTGTTGTGTGATGATATTTGCCTAAAACTTATATCACTAACACATTGATTTTATTGTCTTAGCATAAAATCACTAAATTTACCACTCCATGTGTATCTTTTTGGTCCCATCCAGCGAAGAGTTTCACTTTCCTTGAGTAAATCACCATAGTAACCATACCCAGACATGGTGACAGTGTATTTAACAAACTCTTCTTTCTTGTACAGTGCTGTTACATCCATACCAATGCTATCACCTGATAAAGGATATATGAAGTAGTTTGGTTTGGGAAAATTTAAAAAATCTGGCCAACAACAAAATGCATATATAAACACACAAAAAGGGGACAAATAATATTGTTTTTCATTTTTTAATATGACCCACAACTACAATACCAATGTTATCATGTGAAAAGTGGCACTTAAATCTTTGATTTAAAAACATTTAAGTATGGCCTATGGAATTTTATTTTCATTAAGAAAGAAACTTGTAAAATTATGGAAAAATGAACATTTGAATTCTCAGGTCATTTAATGATAAAGTTATTGTAATAATTATAACAGATAGCAAGTATCTATATATGTGGTCAACAGCACTAGTGTGTGACTAAATAAAAACTAATGCAGATGTTTATAGTTGAATGAAGTAAAACAAACCTAAGATAATCTGCAGGGCTGATGTCACTGGGTCATTGATCCCAACCAAAGAGTAGACTATAGCATCTGTAGAGCCTGTAATTGTAAGAACATGTCATACTCTTTTTCTTCTTGTAGTATTGTTACATACTGAACTGCTCAAACAAACAGTAACAGAGAAACAGTTTAACTCAGTAACCTGTTCAAACAAACAGTAACTGAGAAACAGTTTAACTCAGTAACCTGCTCAAACAAACTGTAACTGAGAAACAGTTTAACTCAGTAGCCTGCTCAAACAAACAGTAACTGAGAAACAGTTTAACTCAGTAACCTGTTCAAACAAACAGTAACTGAGAAACATTTTTTTCAACACTATATGAGCAGGTTGAGACAAGTTTGTGTATTTCCATTTTAAGCAGATTCTAGCTGAGTGCTTACTGGCTAAAGGTGTTGTTAAAAAAATACATTTAAAAAAATACTGCTAACATTCCAATTGTCTGAGTTAACTCTGTACTGACATGGATAAACTGTACACAGGTGCTAGATGTAAACAAGTGAAAACAAATTCCTCTATAAAGAAATACAAAAGATGATGTTGAAAAAGATTTCTAATAAAAAAAAAAACAGGATGAATAAAATTAAGCCAAGTTGACCTGCAGGTATGATGCCTATCCTTACAGATGGACTAACTGGTGTATGTCGAAAAATCTGCTGGACGCCAGCCTCAGCATTGACCCTGTCCAGCAGGCCATTGAGCAGCTCTGAGAAAGTGCCATCTCCCCCAACACAAACCAATCTGTTAGTTAATATACATTTTTTTTTAATTGACCGACATTAAAGAATGCAATTTTAAATAAGTGAATAAACATTAGACGCAGTTCAAATCATGCTCAAACATTTTTAAATTGCTTTATTTAAAAAAGTATACTTGTAAAAATAAAACAAACCCGTCTACGGAGTGTAGATCATAATCAAAAATCACATCTCTAGCATGATACTGCCTTTTGGTAACTTGAAAAAAAGAATATAAAAAAATAATTTCAAACTACTGGATCAAATAACAAAAAACTAAGTAATTGCAGTGAATCCAAAGGGATTACATTTAACTATATGATAACTTAATGACCTAGTTAATACCTATACAGTCAGCTAATGAATATGTCAAAAAATGAATCATAAAATAGAAAACATTCTTTTTTTCTTGAAGTTTAAGAATGAGTAAACTGCAATGATAAAGACAAATGTCACACCTGTAAATTACAATGTTTAAAACATTTCAATTAATTTAACTGTTCTAAACTAATGCTTAATTTTTAAAGGATAACTTTTATTTTTCTGTAGTGTAAAATTGTAAATAAACTCGCACTGAACAAACTTACTAATGACTTCTGAGTAGATCCCTGCTAATTCAAACAAAGGGCGAACTTTTTCATTAAATATTTTCACAGCTTTCTTTTTACCACCGAATGGGTTGATAAATACAAGCAGACGTTTTGGTCTTTTCCACTCTGAAAATAAATAAAGTGTAAAATCTTCCCTTAAAAAAAAAACATCAAATGCACACTACCATGTTTGAGATATTAACAAAATAACAAGGCCTTTACTATAAAGCTTATAAATAAATGAAAATTTTGTAACAGAACAGATGGCTTCAAAATATCAAGTTAGCATTACATAAAAACTATGAATGATTACTGGATTTTTAAAAATAATTCTCTGACTGACCTGGACTCCTCAAAATGTCTTGAAGTTTTTCAATCCAGATTTGGCAGGTGCCATAATCTCGGCACACAAACAAGCACTTTTTGTGGCGCCACCTATGCTTTGCAACACGCTGTAAAATACAATTTATAAAGGTTTTTCTTGTTTTAAAATATAGCTCACTTTAGAAAAGGTAAGTTATTCTACAAATTATAAGACCACAAAAACTGTAATTTTTGGGAGAAAATAACCTATACATAAACAAGTACAATTCCATTTAGATAGAACTGTGCTCAGGACTTCTCTTTTTCTTTTTATACACAGCATAGCATTTGCATGATCAATCAATGTACATTTATAATTGTAACCTTAGGGAACATGAGTTACAATTTCTTTAACAATTCTAAAAAATACTCTTATAATACATATTTTAAAAACAAAACAGGGAACAAACCTTTATAACAAAAATAGAAAATGTATTTGTGCCAGAGGATTTCTCTTCCTGGAGCAAGGATGGTTTGTTTGGAGATGTGACTTTTCTATCTTTGATTGGTGACTTGTGGTCAGCTCTAACTGCTATAATTTCCTTTAAATCTATTACTTGATTAGAGGGACCTGTAATGTAAAATGAAAATTCATTTAATATTACACAAGGCATCAGTAATGTAGCAAGGATGGTGCTGGCCATACTGTTCATCAGGTATAGGACATCAAATTTGCTGTTTATTTAAGTTCTATCTATTTTGACAACATCAATATCAGGTCAGTAAGTAAAGTAAAGTTTTCCTTTCAAACCTGACGGTCTATGTAAGGGGCAAGTGAAGTAGAGTTCACTTGTTTCTGTGACCTCGGCATATACATATCATATAGTGTGGTCAGCACTATGATCAGGTCAGTACCAGGCAGCAAATACTTAGCTAAACCACAGATAAGCATAAGTAGACCGTATATTATATTATGTAAGTAGTAAAAAAATTAAGTAGACTAGGCCTATTTATTTTTATACATACTAATTTTAAGTAATTTATTATGTGGCAATGATACGATATGTTGTATGTAGTATGTAGTATGTGGGTTGTGACATCAAGATTTAAACAAGGCCTATACACTCTATACTATAATTACTATAGATCTAGAGCAGGGGTCTCCAAACTACGGCCCGCGGGCCGGATGCGGCCCGCGAGGTCCTCTCATCCGGCCCGCGGCAATCTTTTTGTCTACTGAATAAATGTTTGTTAGAGGTGGCTGAGGAACTTTGCATAGAAATTTCAAAACAATTTGAAAATGTACCTTTGGGTGCAAATAAAACTTGCCCACCGTGTTGCAGCCTTGGTGAAAACATCGGGACTGAAATAGCGAGAAATGCAAGCGAATTTCGATATTTTTCAATTGCCATGGATGAGTCGCTGGACAGCTGTTCCACCTCTAAACTTCTTGTATTCATTAGAGGTGTGGATGAAGACATGAACATAACACAATAGCTGGCTTCCCTACATAGAAATATGGCACTGTTACCGGAGATGATATCCAACCATAGATAGTTCAGAGACACGTTGAAAGATACAAACACAGAATCGCAAGATTTAGCATATTCCACAGCAGTAAGATGGCTAATTTGCGAGAAAGTTCTGAGCAGAGTATTTAAGTTAAGGAAAGAAATAGGTGACTTCCTGGAAAGTAAAGGCAAGCCACAGCCATTAATGTCTGATGAAGATTAGGTATATAAATTGGTCTCTGCTGCAGACATAACTAGTCATTAAAATTTTTTGAACATAAAACTACAAGAGAGGGAAATCTAGTATCTGATCTATACGTTCACCCAGTGTTTCTTCCAGACTTTTTTCTCCGGGGGGGCACTTGAAAACTTCGGGGGGGCGGTAAACTTTCTTCGGGGGGGCGGACACTGTTAAAAGTATATACTTTCTATATAAATTGTATAAATTTCATTTCGTTCGGGGGGGGCGGTAAAAATTTTTCGGGGGGGGCAAAGCCCCCCCGAAGAGATGCCTGGAAGAAACTCTGCGTTCACCTAAAGGTCTTCAGATCCAGATTTGTCTTGTTTTTGGAACGAGTACAGGCCAACAACTTGACCCACTCTCAGCAGTGCAAGGTCTTTACGGCTGAACCAACCACTGAGTTCCCCACGTCATTTGTATGCGAGATCATCAAAGACCTCCAGGTGCAGTTTCAATAACGGTTTTCTGACTTGGGTTCAAATGCAGAAGTGAGACTATTTCAAAACCCATATAATGCAAGTGTGGCCAGTTACAAAGATGAACAGCAGCTGGAGGTCATTGAATTGCAAGCAAATGACCTCCATAGACATAGAGTGTGTTGTCCCCCGATAGTGTTTCTTTATGACTTTTTTCTTCGGGGGAGGGAGACACTTGAAATTTGTTTATATTTCTATATAAATTATATTTCTTTTGGGGGGGGGGGGGGGGTAGAGGTTCTTCAGGGGGGGGGGGGGGCACCACCCTGAAGAGATACCTTGAACAAACTCTGGCCCCCGAACTGACATTTGATAGTTAATGCGGCCCTCGGGCTGAAAAGTTTGGAGACCCCTGATCTAGAGGATCTAAAATCTGTTGGCTATTACTCAGTACTGTAACTGTAGTCTGGGCTAATGCGTAGTGCCTGGCCTAGACTAGTGGACTTGAGTGCCTCAAGTTAAAAGTTGTAGAGTTGGTCTACTCACACGAACTCGGTCGAGCATCCAATGATATGTCGTTTGATCTTGGCCTGTTATTGTTTTCGATGATTATTTGTGTTGATGTTAGATAAACGTGAGCTGGCTTATTTTCATAATCTAAAAGGCTATACATAAGAATATTCTGCTCCTCTATAGCAGCCATTGATTGAAAGTTAACATTAGTTTCCATTGTTTGCTTGACTCCGGAAGTTATTATTTAAGGTTCAATATTTTATTTTTAGCAAGGTCAAAAAGCTGAGTTAGGCTACTAGGCGGCGCTTTTAATTGTTTACAAAAACTTTTTTTTGGATTCTTTTGTCATAATGGAATTCTTGCTATCAGTTTTACCCACTTTCCGAGTTGTTTCAAACTTTCTAATTACATACATTTAAAAACTGTGTTTTATTGAAATGAATGATTAGAAAAATATTATCACTTTTCCATTCACATCTCCGTCCCACGAGCCGCATTTTGCGGCTCAAAGCTGTTTTTACTTTCTCGTGACGTATATAGGCTACGAAGTATACAGAAAGTCTTGTAATCGTGCAAAAAAAAAAAAACCAATCGAGATTTTTGCAAATCTCGACGTTTTACACCTTACTGATACGGAAAAACATAATTTTGCAATCTTGTCCGTATGTCTGTGTGTATGTGTGTCTGTGTGTCCGTGTGTCTGTAAACACGATAACTTGAGTACCGTTACAGCTAGGTTGATGAAATTTCATATGTAAGTATTTTATCAAAATCGTAGATCCGTATCAACTTTTGAGCGATTTCCGATAACCGGAAGTGGTCTTTTTTACTTTGAATTTTTCAAAAGCCTATAATTTGAGTAGTATTTCAGATAGATAAATGAAATTTCACATGTAAGTAAAAGATCTAATTCTCTACCTTCTCTCAAATTTTGAGTAATTTCCGTTTACCGGAAGTAGTAATTTACGCTATTTCCGATATCTCAAAAAACTAATGTAAATTTATTAAGTACTAATAATATTCCGCACTATTATGCACATTTTATTTGGTGTTCACTGGTGTGCAATTCTTTTTTCTACGAGATTTTATTCTATTTTTAAAAAGTTTAAGTATTTAAAATGGGTTAAAATTCATGTCTATATCCCGTGTTCCCATGCCCTGTTTTTTTTTGTATAAGAATATTCGAGAAAGTTTAGGGGAGATCACTCCCGGTTTATTTTGTTTGTTGTAGTTTGGACCAAAAGTCGCATTTTGCAGCTTTTATTTTATCCCACGATCTAAGCTACACAACAAACAATAGGACATTTTTTTTTCACGCCCACGAATAAATTATCATAGAGGCAGAGGTATTTTCATTGCACACCAGAGTAGCTAGGTGTTCGGGGACACCAACGGTAGAAAGCCCCAAAAGCGTTAGAAAAATTACACTTTTTGACTTTTGAGCTGCATTACTGAATAATACACATTTAAGTTAAGAAAATCTCTTAAATGACATACATTTTTTAGGCGGGGATCGGATTTTTGTGACGATGTGTGACAAGGGGATAAAGGGTAGGATGGGTTCAGAAAATGCGACGACACATTTTTTTGTGTTATATAAAATAATGCTTGAAACTGAATTTCAGTGCTTCGCATTAAAAAATGTTTTTTTTTGTCAATTGTAATAACATTTATTAATACAAGCTTGCTCAATGTTGAGCTCAATAAATATCTTAGAAAGATATGTATAAAAACAAACAAAAATTTCATCTTTGAAACAGGGGGTAAGGGGTCATCCATAAATGACGTCACGCTATTTTGGGACGATTTTTACCTCCCCCCTCCCCTCCGTCACACATCGTCACAAAAAGCCAGACACCCACCCCTAAAATGACGGCTCACCTCAGCCTACACCCCCCCCCTCAAAATTGCAGTTAAATTTTTCTTAAAACATCGATATTTTTCCAAAATCTTGTCTGAACTCTGTCTATATAGATTATTTTAATCAATTCCTATTACAATGTATTAAAACTGTTTTCTAATACCCGAAATAACGTCTAAAATTCGTTTTCTAACATGGCTTTTATATATTGCAAAAATGTGACGTCGCACCATCTGAACCCGCTCCCCCTCGTCACACACCATCACAAAATTACGGACCCCCCTCCCCCCTAAGAGTGTGACATCATGTATGGACGACCCCTAAACTGATGTAAGATATTGTTTCACGGGGAGGGGGTCTGCCTTTGGGGTGAGGGGTGGTGTAAAATAGTTAAAGAAAGCCTGACGTTGTTTCTAGATGGCCCCTAACTTGTGTGGGACAGCTCACGGACATTTACTTAATAGCTATAAATATGTTCTACATCCATTGTACTAGGCCTAAAGTAATGCGACGCAGTAGAGGATTAAGGGGGGGGGGGGGGGCTGAGAGGACTGAAGTCAGGTGTGCCCCCCTTTTTTGGGGGGGCCCAAAAATGCTGCTTAATTGTTGGTTTTCATTATAAAAACTTGCTAGGGCCTTGTCGTGGCTTGGCAGCTTGCGTACCCTGACGACCCCCAGAGCTATACCAGCGGGAGTGTTAACTCCTGGCAGGTTCAACCAAGCCGGGAAGGTCTGCGCGGGTAGGGGTCAGACGAAAGCTAGCACCCTGGTCCTCCAGGTTGGGGGTTGAGCATAAGGTCAGCAACCTTATATCGTAAAACAATTATCGCTACAGAAACGCAGACAGAGAGAAACAAAGACAGCTCGGACCAGGGGAAAAATGGATCTCCTGATGGAGAATTTATGAAGCCGGGTGGTGAAAGCCAATATATATTGGAAACTACCAGGTCGACCACCATTATTTCCACTAGGACCACCATTAATATTGGAGCTTGGAATGTCCGCACGATGTACGAAGCTGGAAAAGCAACCCAAGTAGCAGCAGAAATGAGACGCTATAAAATAGCTATCCTGGGTGTCAGCGAATCAAGGTGGACTGGCTCAGGACAAAAAAGACTGATAACAGGAGAACTACTGCTGTACTCAGGCCATGAGGATGAAAATGCACCACATACTCAAGGAGTTGCACTCATGCTATCAAACCAAGCACAAAGGGCTCTCATTGGATGGAGGCACACTGCCCGCGGATCATAACAGCTACCTTTAAAACTAAAATAAGACGAATAAACATGGACATAATACAGGCCTACGCCCCAACAAATGACAGCAAAGAGGAGGACAAAGACGAATTCTACAACAGGCTAATGACCATTATCCAGAACCGCCCAAGAAGAAACATCCTTATACTCATGGGCGACTTCAATGCTAAGATTGGAAGTGACAACAGAGGATATGAAGAATGTATGGGACAGCAGGGTTTAGGTGAGATGAACGAAAACGGAGAAAGATTTGCTGACTTGTGTGCCACAAATAATTTAGTCATTGGTGGTAGTCTCTTTCATCACAAAAGGATACATAAAGCTACTTGGGTATCACCCGACCTATCTACAGAAAACCAGATAGACCATATATGTATCATAAAAAAGTTCAGGAGATCACTTCAGGATGTACGCGTCAAGAGAGGAGCTGATGTTGCTTCAGACCATCACCTACTGGTAGCTAAATTAAAACTCAAGCTGAAGAAAAACATGTTGGAAAACAAAAGGAAATACAGATACAACACAGGCCTGCTAAAGGACCCATCTAAACTCAACGAATTTAAACTTCATATGTCCAATAGGTTTCAGGTACTACAAGAACTAATAGAAGAAGAGACGATAGAGGAAACATGGGAAAAAACTAAAAGCATATTAACATCAACATGCGAAGAAGTGCTAGGCCCTATCAAAAGACAAGCGAAGGAATGGATATCAGCAGATACCATGAAAATTATTGAAGAGAGAAAAAGAAAGAAGGCAACATTCAACAACAGCCGCACACGGGCTACGAAATTAAAAGCACTGGAAGAATACACCGAAACGAACAAAAATGTCAAGAAACACATAAGGAAAGACAAACGGAATTATTTGGAACTGCTGGCAAGAGAAGCGGAAGAAGCACTGTACCATGATAATATTAGGGACGTGTACAATACAATTAAGAAGATATCTGGTAAGTACAGTAAGCCAGAGAGGCCAGTGAAAACCAAAGATGGAAAGACAATACCTGATGCGGAAGGACAGATGAAGAGATGGGTAGAACATTTTGAAGAACTACTGAATAGACCAACACCAGAGTGCACGCAAGACATACCACCAGCTGAAAGTGACCTCCCTATAGACTGCAACCCACCTTCAAAAGAAGAGATACATAAAGCTATAAAGCAGCTGAAAAATTGGAAGGCTCCAGGAATATATGGTATACCGGCAGAAGCACTGACAGCAGATATAGAAACTAGCACCACACTACTATACACACTCTTCAAGAAAATCTGGGAAGATGAACAAATACCAGAGGAGTGGAAAGAGGGACTACTCATGAAGCTTCCAAAGAAAGGCGATCTTAGTGCATGCTCTAACTATAGAGGGATAACACTTTTGTCCATCCCAGGCAAAGTCTTCAACAGAATATTATTAAACAGAATGAAGGAAGCGATAGATCCCCAGCTTCGAGATCAACAGGCGGGCTTTAGGAAGGAAAGGTCATGCATAGACCAAATTGCTACCCTGCGCATCATCATTGAACAGACCCAAGAGTGGAACTCGTCTCTCTATATTAATTTCATAGACTATGAGAAGGCCTTTGATAGCCTGGATGGGCAGTCAATGTGGAAATTGTTGAGACACTACGGGGTGCCACAGAAAATAGTCAACATTATTATGTCTTCATATGAAGGTCTCAAATGTAGAGTAGTGCATGGCCAACAGACTACAGAGGCCTTCCCAGTACAGACCGGAGTAAGGCAGGGTTGCCTACTTTCACCATTCCTGTTCCTGCTGGCCATAGACTGGGTTATGAAGATGTCAACAGAGAAAACGCGAAACGGTATACAGTGGACACTGTGGAACTAGCTGGATGACCTGGACTTTGCTGACGACCTGGCCCTCCTTTCTCACACACAACAGCAAATGCAGGATAAAACCAACAGGGTTGCAAATTTTTCTACATGCCTGGGCCTGAACATCCACAGAGGGAAAAGTAAAGTTCTCAAAGTCAATGCATCAAACAACAACCCTATAACACTGGCAGAAGAAGCCCTAGAAGAAGTGGATAGATTCACCTACCTTGGAAGTATTGTTGATAAGCAGGGTGGGACAGAAGCAGACATAACAATAAGGACGGGTAAGGCAAGAGCAGTCTTCAACCAACTAAAAAATGTTTGGGGTTCGGGAGATTTAACTCTTGGAATAAAAATCAGGATCTTCAACACACTAGTAAAACCTGTTTTACTCTATGGAGCCGAGACATGGAGAATAACTGCTAAAAACAAGAAGAAAATACAATCATTTATAAACGCATGCCTCAGAAAGATCCTGCGAATTCGCTGGCCTAAAACCATCAGAAATGATGTTCTATGGCAACGGACAAATCAACTGCCAGTTGAAGTAGAGATCCTCCAGAGAAAATGGAAATGGATTGGCCACACACTCAGGAAGCCTGTATCCAGCATAACAAGACAGGCCCTCACCTGGAATCCACAAGGCAGGAGGAAGAGAGGCAGACCAAGAAAGACCTGGAGACGTGACCTGGAAGAAGACACCAAGAAGATTGGATACACTTGGGGACAGTTGGAGAGACTAGCCCTGGACAGAGACGTCTGGAAAGCTCTTGTCAGCGGCCTATGTCCCAGTAGGGACGACAGGCAAACATGACATGATTATAAAAACTAAAGTTTTAATGTTTGCATCACCAGCTTTAATTTTTTTTTTACAAAATATCTAACACGCACACACACACGCATACACATACACACACACACACACACACATATATATATATATATATATATATATATATATATATATATATATATATATATATATATATAAAGTAAGTAAGTAAAGTTTCCCTTTCAAATCTGACGGTCTATGGGGCAAGTGAAGTAGAGTTCACTTGTTTCTGTGACCTCGGCATATGAAGAGATAGTGTGGTCAGCACTATGCCCAGCCGCCTTTACTTTCCCTAACATGAGTTAGGTACCCATCAGAGTTGGGTGGACTCAGGGACGGTCTACTGACTTGGACCCGGATTCGAACTCGAGACTTACGGGTTAGCAGTCCAGCTCTCTACCGCTAGACCACTCCGTCCCGGATATATATATATATATATATATATATATATATATATATATATATATATATATATATATATATATATATATATATATATATATATATATATATATATATATATATATATATATATATATATATATATATATATATATATATATATATATATATATATAAGGGCCCCGCTCAAGCTTAATCCGCCCCTGATGTGGCGGGGTCTGGTGTGGTTTACTGGAGTCGGAAGTGGTTCTCTGTTTTGACCAGTAAAAATAGCCCCAAGGCAAAGGTGAAAAAACGATAAAACATGACGCCAGTCTACCTCTTGAGATAATTTTGTAGACCACACCATATTTCGAAAATATTCTCTCCATTTATTAGCCTTGAGGCTCTCCATCGGGGGACAGCAACCCATCTAGGAAAGAATACTCTGTAATTTGTGAGTGCAGCCCCTTAGGCGACATGATTACCAATTATGTTTTACTTTCGGCAGCTCCTGCGACAAATAATGCTGATTTCATTTTCAAGCCGTACAAGTAACGTCCTGTCCCTTGGGTCCGTCAGCTGTGGGAAGAGAAGGGGCCTGATATATAGGCAACATCTGGCTCTTCTCAACTTAGGGCCCAGGCTTTGTGGTTGGATTTTAAATGGATCCATAATTTCGCCTATCATTATTTATTGAATATGCTTATCAGCATTTCAGTATATACTTAGAAAAAAAATTACATCGACCTGTTCTGTGTTGGCGCCAAATCTTATCATGTAATCTCGTTTGAAAAAAAAATAAGAAAAAAAAAAGAAAAAAAAAAGTACAAAACTCTTGTAATTCATACACGTTGAATTTGTTTTAAAACACGATTTTAGCATTCTTGAGCCTAGATTCAAGTTTTTAAAAATACGCAGTTAATATATAAAGAAAAAAACATTTGACTAGTCGAACTCACATTTGTTAGACTGAAAGTAGTGAAAGCTGAAATCCAGTTGATCAAGAATGTCCGTGAAACTGCTGACCATCACCCTGTTGGTTTTTGTTGTGTATGTTAGTGCTACCAAGAAAAGTGTGTTTGAGAATATCGTAAAGCGAGGTGAGTTGTTTTTCGTTTTTAAAAAAATTAACATTGTTTGATTACATTAATATTGTTTGATTACATTAATATTGTTTGATTGACTGGGGTCAGAGTTTCTCTCTTTTTTTTTGGGGGGGGGGGTTGTTGCCCCTTCCTAAGAAGGTCTACCCCCCTCCCCCCCCCTAAAAAAAACTTCAATTGCTCCCTTCTAGTGGAAGGAAATCGGACTTGGTGACGAAGTGCGACAAGAGGCAGCGGTTCACGAAAGTGTGTTGTATTTGAATTAAGAAAATAAATGTTTGAAACTTAAATCAGCCGCTTTTCACATTTTAAAAACAGTGGCGTAGCTAGGGGAGGGCGGGTGGGACGGCTGCCCCAGGCGCCAACCTTAGAGGGGCGCCAAACGGGGGAGAAAAATAAATAAAAGCCTAGTTTTGAGATTCATTATTTAAAGACTACTAATTGGTTTAACAGACTTTGTTTTCTAAATCGATTGTGTGACACTAAATAAAAACAGTGACTGTTAAAAACGTTTGTGGTGGGTGGGGGTGGGTGGGGGTTGGCGCAAAACTAACAGTTCACCCCGGGCGCCGGAATAGGTCACTACGCCTCTGTTTAAAAAGACTTAAAAAAAAAATGAATCATATATTGAGTGTTGACTGAGATCAGCTATTTAGTTTTATATAGACTAGAAGTAAGAAAATTACAATTATAAGGGAGTGATAGACTGATGTGTAACGATGCTTTACAATGGGGAGCGGGAGAAAAAAAGTAGTCAAAAACCAGACCCCCCCCCCCCAGTAAAACCTTTAATAGCACAATATTGTTGGCAGCTTAACATTAATCTCTAGAGCAGTCTGTGGCCGTTTCTGAACTGTTATTGTTTACATTTAATGAATACATTACTTGCTTGGGAAATATCAGGAAAAAAATGATTTAAGTTTTATGTTGTGTTTCAATTTATATTTTTATTTATAACAAAAAAAATTGTGTTGAAAAATTAATCAACAGCATGCGGGGCTGATGAATTCACGTGCAAGAATAATATAGGATGCGCTGATAAAATTTGGGTCTGTGATGCAGAGTTGGATTGTTTAGATGGCTCTGACGAAGATGGATGCCGTGAGTTGATTTAAAACATGTCCTTTAAACTAATTAGTGTTGCAATTGTATCCATCTATCCATCGATCAATTCATCCATCGATCCACCAGCCACCCACGTTCGCATCCAATCTGCCCCCACCTGTCCATTAATCCATCCACACACCCATTCATCCATAACTTGCATTATTTTTAATATTTAAAAATAGAATAAATAAAAGCGTGGGCAGCTATAATAATAGGTATTTAAACAAGCGGCCCGCGATTTTATTTATAGTGATATAAATAGTAGTGCATTAATATATTTAAAGAAAGTGATTTTTTTAATATTTAAAGTAACCGCAGATTTATTATATTTTAAAAAATTATTTTATATTTAATAAAAATTATATTATTTTTGTTAGCCACCGATTGTAGTCACGCAAACATGTACAAATGTGCCAATTCCAAGTGTATTCCACGTATCTACCTGTGTGACGGCGATAACGATTGTGGCGATGGAAGCGACGAGGCTACATGCCGTAAGTCTCACTGACATTTTTTTAATCATGATAAAGGCAGAATTGAAAGTTATGATTTGCGATAAAGACGAGCAGGTTATCGTCTCAATTGTGCTCGAAAGAGTTCTTCAGCATATTATTCTTATTTTCTTTTTTTTTGAAGTTATTAACAACTATCAAGACATTTAAAAACGCATTGGTTGTGTATAATTTGCATCAATACTCGGACGGTTTTTTTTAAAAAAATGTTGAACAATACTCTAGTAAAGTTTCCCTTTTAGACCTGACGGTCTATGGGGTAAGTGAAGTAGAGTTCACTTGTTTCTGTGACCTCGGCATATGAAGAGATAGGGTGGGAGTTGGGTGGACTCAGGGACGGCCTACTGACTTGAACCCGGATTCGAACTCGAGACTTACGGGTTAGCAGTGCAGCTCTCTACCGCTAGACCACTCTAAGGTAACTAATTATTTTCTTGTAGCAACTTAATAACACAGACACACAAGAAAAAAAAATTTGGCGTTTTGATTTTTAGATGTTTAAAAGTAGGCACTACAGATCATTCATTGTTCACAATTACTTTTGTGCTACTAAAGAGGCTAATTAAAGCTGTTATTAAGAAATTTATACGAGTATGATTCTCAATACTTTTTTTAATGTAAACTATTATGTAGCTTTGTAGAATCAAGTAAACTGCTTTGTGTTTGCAAATTATATTATTGAAATACAAATTTTTAAAATTAAATTACAGACTTTTTAAATATACACCATCGTAACTTTTAGACAACTATAAGGATGATATTCACAAGAAAGCTTTTTTATTCAATCCACATCAATGACGATTAAAAAAACCGCTTTTCAAGTTTAAAGATGCCATTACCATGGTTTCATTTGATCCGGCCAATTAATTAAAGTTTCTTAGCGAACCTCGACGGTCCATGGGTCGATTGAAGTAGAGTTCACCTGTTTCTGTGACCTCGACGCATGAAGTGATTGTGTGGGTAGCACTAAGCTCAGACGCCTTTACTTTCACTAACACGAGGCAGGTACCTAATAGAGCTGGGTGGACTCGGGGACGTTCCTCGGACTTGAACCCGGATTCGAACTCGAGAAATTCGGTTAGCAGTAGTGTGTTCTCATTTGGCTAATTAGGTTTTTTTTTGTAGGCGTGTGTCAAAGTAAACAAATTAGTTTAAAATGTAGTTGATTCTATATGCCTGTTTGGCGTATATCGAATTTTGTGTTAATGTTTGCGTTTATCCTTTCTTTTAAATTGAGTTGATCCAGAGTTTTTTTTACTAGCTAATTTGATTTGTAATAAGTGTTTTATTTCTTGAGTTCTAGTGTAACGCATATTTGCGTTTGAAAATAAATATTTGTACATAACTCATACACAACGCTTGTTTTGTTGTCTAAAGACAATAAACGCTGATGCTGTATTTCACCACACTAATGTGAACTTTGAATATTTCAGCCTCTGGTTAATCATCGAATGTTCTTATCTCTGGGTCAGACATGAGAGATGACATATGTTCACTCACGTTAACCTTATCGTAACCGCCGACATACTTTTTTTAAATTAAAAAAACTATCATTATCTAAAAATTAATAAAGCTTGACAAACATAATTGTTTTTCTTTTTTTTTTTGGTGTTTGTTATCTTTTTCTGTATTTGTGTCAATGCCGTACATTAAGACAGAAATAGACTTGCTGTGTCCATAAGGCTCAGGAAATGCCAACAGGGGCATCCAACTCAAGGTATAAATTTATTTTTATTGTGCATTTTCCCCATACCTGATGATCTTCTTAGGCAACAGTGCGCCTAGAACAACACCATTCCTAGGGGCCCACTGGGATTTTCCTTGGTAGACCGGCGGGCCAGTACAACCTTGCATCAACACAATGTCTTGATGAGAAGGTAAAAAAAAACAACAATAAAAAGCAAGCGACACACAAGATAAGATTGGCTTGTATGGTGACCTAAGGCTGCCTGCTCTGATGCGGTTGTTGGACCAACACAGTGTGTCACCTAAGAAATCATTAGATATATACAGCTTAAGGATGGGGTACACCCTCTTTGTAGATCATTTACAGAAGTTTTTTTCATACTTGAAAAGGCCAGAAATCAAATTTAATGTGTGCTGGTGACTAACCTGCCTTCCTGGACTAGAATTACATAGGCGTTAAACAGTCAGGACGCGTCTTGTAAGGCAGCAAGTATCTAGCTTGAGGTCCCAGTAGGAAATAGGCCGCATGTAGCTAGGGCAGGGGGGGGGGGGTTGGGGCAGGCGCACCGGACGCCGACTGTAAGGGGGCGCCAAAAGAGGTAGAAAACAATAAATATTAAAAAATTAATTTTAAGCTTGGATATTGCATTATACCCAGTCAAAGTACATGCAGATTAACTGTTTTCTACATCAATTGGGTAACACCACTATAAAAACCTTTAAAGGTTTGTGACTCATAAAAAGCGCCAACCTTTACATCTAGGGGCGGGTCGGGGGGGGGGGTGCTTTTTCACCAACATGAATAACTATATATTATTTTATAAGTGGGCGGGAGGGGGTAGGCGTAAAATTAATAGTTCAACCTTTGGAATGGGTCGCTACGCCTGTAGCTCGCCTGATATCCGACTAGGACATAATGCACCTCTCCACCATTATGCCACAAACACACGCACGCACATACTTACGAATACATACAATATGTTTACCGGTAATATTACAATATTGACTCAATGTATATGCGCATTATGTGAAATGTAACTGAATATATTTATGTCAACACGTTACAATTACATATATGTTGGCTAGAAAAATGTGTTGCACATTTGGATACGTAAGAAACGGTGGATCTACGATAAATACTACCTGACCTGGAACGCCATCATCTGAAGGCAGATAGAGAACATTAGGTTTGTAAAGATTATACCAGTATTCTTACAGCACCCAACAGCATTCTTATAGCACCCAACCAGTTAATAGCATCCTTATAACACCCAACAACTAGCAGCACTCTTATAGTACCCAACAATTATTAACAGCAGCGGCACCTAATGGTGTCATCCCCACCCCGAAAAAATGTATATATATATATATATATATATATATATATATATATATATATATATATATATATATATATATATATATATATATATATATATATATATATATATATATATTCATTCCATATACCATTGTAAGTATGTGTATGCGCATGTGTACATGTATTCAAATAAATCTTTTTTTTTTCTGGAAGATTTTTTAAGCTACGCGCTTTTGACTGAACTTCATCCTTTAAATTCTAATGTATAGGAAAATGAGTAACATAACGACAAATCATTTTTTGCAACGTTCGAATCCACCAGAATCTTTTTACCTTTTATGGGCATGCAAAATTTGTAATCAAATTATTATAATTCAACATATTCAATAGCATAATATATAAAAAAATTTAAAGATCGAACTGACTTAAGGCGTGAATTAATTGTTTCAAAAAGTTTGGCAACTCTTTTCATGTCGACAAAAAGCGTCAAAATGTGTCATTAGTGCAAGCCAACCAGTTCTATTCATCTGTTGCTTGCTTATATTGCGTATGGTGTCCTTTATTCATTTTCGTCTCTTAAGTTTTTTTTAACATAATTTTTTTACAATGGATTGATACATTTCTAAAGTTGTGCTATTTTGTAACATGCACTTTTTAAATAGTAATAAAAAACCAAAAAGTTTTCATTAAACTTATTTAAAAAAGTAAAAATATTTATGACAAACCCTCGAAAAATACATACATTGATTTTATCCGTATCTCACACAACTTTTAGTAGAATAGATAAATAACCCATTAAAAGTATCACAAATAATGGATAACAAATCAGTAAAAAAAACGAAAAGTAAGAACATCGACCCGAGGCTAAATTACTTAAGCACTATCAAATGTGCAGCTATTGTTCTATTGGTGTCAAACACACACTTACACATGCACACGTATAAATACAAACACACATACACACGTAGGCTGTTTTATATTATTTTGCTTGATATGATATACAGATTTGTAAATTTCCTATGTGGTTTCACCCCAATCCAATTCGGTGGACGTTGTTTTTGGTGTCACCCCCCCTAACTTTTTGTCGAATGGCGTCCATTCATGCAAATATTATATTAATCGACCTAGTAAAAGCATTTAGGGGCCTAACTCTAACAGCTATTAATTCAATTGCAAAGATAGTTGTTTTTTGTAATAAATTGTGGTATCACCCCCCCTCACCCAGACGTGGATTGACATATAAGTTATTAATTTTCTCAACAAAATCTTTTTCCATGGGCAAATGTTGCAAAGTTTTGTTGATGTAACTTCCCCCCCCCCCCCCCCCGATAGCGTTAAGTTGTGCTCAGATAATACCAACAATATTTTTCTATAGCCGTTATTAGTACAGCTGGATGTAGCAGGTTTACGTCATGGTATCACCCCTCCCCCCTCCCATCTTGTCGGGACTTGTCAACTTTGCTCTTAAAAGTCTATTTAAATCTAATTATTCATTTATTTAACTGGAATGATCATTTTTTTTCTTTATATATTTTGATATTTTTTGCATTGGTGTCATCCCCCTCCCCCCGCCAATGGTGTCACGCGGTGCGGTCCGCACCCCGCCCGCCCCCCCCCCCCCCCATCGCTACGCTTCTGATTAATAGTATTCTTATAACACCCAATAACTAATAGCATTCTTGTAGCACCCAACAATTAGTCACAACAAAAAAAGCAAGGAAATCGTTCAACTAATATACCTATTTAGAACAGGTATGAAACATTTTTGACTTCGGTAATGTTAATCAATTATCATAAAATAGTTTCTTTGCTAATTATTTGTTCTTAAACATCTTGATTGTTCTGTCTAGCCTCTTTATAACGCACTAACTGCAACCGGTGTTTTGCTTCGTGATGTTTAATTTAAACATTTTAAAATAAGCCTATCAGCAATTAATTAAATATGCTTATCAGCTATTTATTTAATTACTTTTTTTTAAATCGTAGAAGTAAAATTAAATTATATTGTGATGCCGATTCTAATCACACAAAATAAAAAAAAAAGCCACTTTAATTTGCATATATAAAATTGGGTTTAAATCAGATTTGAGCATTCTTGACCTAGACCCAAATTTAAAGAATGCGAACTTGATATAAAAAGAAATCACATTTTCAATAGTCTAACACATTTCTTGGGCTGAAAGCTGAAAATAGTGAAAACCAAGTCATCAAGAATGTCCGTGAAACTACTGACCATCACACTGCTGGCTTTTGTTGTATGCGCCAATGCTAGCAAAAAGAGTGTCAGGACATTTGGGAGTATCGTAAAGCGAAGTGAGTTGATATTTTTAGACGTCAAGGTCAGAGTTTCTTCCAGGCATCTCTTCTCAGTCTACCGCCCCCCCCCCCTTCCCCCACGAAATGGAGTTTATATAGAAAATATATACTTTTAACAGTGTCCGCCCCTCCCCCCCCCCAAAATTTTAGTCCGCCCCTCCCCCCTGAAAATTTTAAGTGCCCCCCCCCCCCCCTCTTCCCCTCTACCCCCCCCCCCCCCCCCCCCCCCCCCCCCCCGAAGAGTCTGGAAGAAACACTGATCAAAGTTGGAACAAGCTGTAATAGTTTTTTTTAAATATGGTTTGTTTTAATGTCGTTCAAGTTTATAAAAATATATTTTAAAAAAAATGCAGATTTAATTTTTTCTTAATTTTTTTGCACGCAAATAATTAAACTAAAGCTGTAAGGCATGTATAAGCATTGCATTAGGCTAAGGCTAGTCGGTCCATGTGAGTAAGAAGTGCAAGATGGATTCAATATTAGAGAAAAACGTGACTGTGGTGGCTGGATGGTGGGGCACACGACTGCCAACCCGTAGGACCCGTGTTTGATTCCAGGGCGAATGACGCTCAGTTAGCTGGGGACAGCAACCCATCTGGGGGGGGGGGGGGGGGGGGGGGGAGGTGGGAACTCCGAAACCAAACACATGCTACCTTGTCGAATTTTGCTGCCCCTCTTTAGTGAAGGTTTACCGTTTAATGTAATTGGATGTTTAATCTTTCGACAGCAATGCTCATGTTGAATGAACAACACGATGTCGGACTTGTTTGATCTATTCCAGTGTTTTGATAGAAGAAAGAATTTTAGTTAAAGTAAATAGACACTTGAATATTCATCTAAATAAAATATAACTGACAGCAGCCTGCTTTCTTAATTTGCTTCCTTAGTCCTATTCACCCAAAACCAATCTGCAAGCAGCAGTTGTTTATTTTGAAGTTTTCACCCGCTAACGAAACTTATTTGCTGGAGATCCGAACATGGGACTTTTAGAACTAACAACATAAGCTCACCAACCCGACCACGTCGTAATTTGCAGCTAAACCATTACATTGTAATCACCATCAACAGCTTGCTTGGACGACCAGTTCACGTGCAAGGACATGGAATGTGCTGAGGCATCATGGGTGTGTGACTCGGAGCGCGACTGTTTGGACGGTTCTGATGAGGCCGGGTGTCGTAAGAAACTTTCTAATGTCTACATCACACTCGTTCAACATCTGCATGTTATTAATATACAATATTAATAATACTGTACAACCATTGATTAATCCATTTCTTTATCTGGTCATTAATTACTCCACCTACTCATCATTGTACTTTGTTTTGACATCCTGGCCTAAATACGTTTGAACAGATTTACCTAGGGGGGCGACTTTGATCATGAAAGCCCACTCGAATGTGTATAGAAATATAACACCATTGCCCAGTGGCGTAGCGAGGTCGGGTGTCACCCGGTGCGGCACTTAATGAAGTCACCCCCCCCCAGAGGCGTTGCGACCCTTTCCGGGGACAAACTTCCAAGTTTTCGATTTGCACCCCCCCCCCCCCTCTCAAACTTTCGATTTGCACCCCCCCCCTCAAGTTTTCGATTTGCACCCCTCTCAAACTTTCGATTTGCACCCCCTCACCTCAAGTTTTTCTCTATATATTTTGCTATTTTTTGCCTTGGTGTCACCCCCCTAAATGGTGTCACCCGGTGCGGTCCGCACCCCCCGCCCCCCCCCCCCTCGCTACGCCCCTGCCATTGCCTATGACATAAACCGACTGTAAAACCAGTTCAAATATAATACATGTGTCAATGACATCAACTGACTGTAAAACCAGTTGAAATATAACACCTATGTGTATGACAGCAACTGACTGTAAAACCAGTTGAAATATAACACCTTTGTGTATGACAGCAACTGACTGTAGCCACCAAAACCAGTTCAAATGCGCAAACGGCAAGTGCATCACCCGCGTCTATGTCTGCGATGGCGATAACGACTGTGGCGACAGAAGTGATGAGGCTAATTGCCGTAAGTCTAATTAAATCAAATGTTTGTACTTGGTGTATGTGTTTGTACTTGATGAGTATGTTTGTACTTGATGTGTGCGTTGTACTTTATGTATGTGTTTGTAAGTGATGTGTGTTTTTATAGTTGATGTATCTGTTTGTACTTAATGTGTATATTTGTACTTGATGTGTGCGTTGTACTTTATGTATGTGTTTGTAAGTGATGTGTGTTTTTATAGTTGATGTATCTGTTTGTACTTAATGTGTATATTTGTACTTGATGTGTGCGTTGGTACTTTATGTATGTGTTTGTACGTGATGTGTGTGTTTGCACTTGATGTGTATGCTTTTACTTGATGTGTGTGTTTGTACTTGACGAGTATGTTTGTACTTGATCTACATGTTTGTACTTGAGAGGTATGTTTGTACTTGAAGTACATGTTTGTACTTGAGATGCATGTTTGTACTTGAGATGCATGTTTGTACTTGAGATGCATGTTTGTACTTGAGATGCATGTTTGTACTTGATGTATATGTTTGTACTTGAGATGCATGTTTGTACTTGAAGTACATGTTTGTACTTGAGATGCATGTTTGTACTTGAGATGCATGTTTGTACTTGAGATGCATGTTTGTACTTGAGATGCATGTTTGTACTTGATGTATATGTTTGTACTTGAGATGCATGTTTGTACTTGATGGACATGTTTGTACTTGAGATGCATGTTTGTACTTGAGATGCATGTTTGTACTTGATGTATATGTTTGTACTTGAGATGCATGTTTCTACTTGATGGACATGTTTGTACTTGAGATGCATGTTTGTACTTGAGATGCATGTTTGTACTTGAGATGCATGTTTGTACTTGATGTACACGTTTGTACTTGAGATGCATGTTTGTACTTGATGTTTGTATATACGTTATGTGAATACTATTATTAGTTAAGATTCGTGTTTTAAAAAACAAACTACAATATGTGTTATCTTTCATAACTGATGTGAGCTTGTAATCCGTTTCTTTTCAGCTTCGGGTTAGAATTGAAGCCAATGAAGATTATTGTATTCTTATCTATGCATTCGATGAGAGAGACAGCATATGTTCGCGTTCACTTTGTCTTAATGATCCAGGATAATTTTATGGTGTTATTTATGTTGTTTGTTTAAAAACACTTTTTATTATCTGGTAATTAAAAAAAGGGTTAAAATATATAAATGTGTATTGGGTTTGTGTGTATGTGTGTGCGTGTGCGTGTGTGTGCTTGTCATTCTAGTAGACTCTGGCCATTGTGATAAACTAGGCGTTGATTTTATTTTTAAAAAAAGTGGGAGTAATATCCCCCAATCAGTGCCGGCGCCAGGTTATTTAGCGCCCTTGGCAAAACTTATTAAAACGCCCCCTTTCAAACAAATTAACATATGTCCCCGGGCGCCGACCTTAGGGGGGGGGCGCCAAAATGGGTTGGATAAAGAAATTGAAAGTTTGAGGGGGGGGGGGTGTAAATCGAAAGTTTGAGGGGGGGGTGCAAATCAAAAGTTTGTCGCTACGCCTCTGACTAATTCCTTCAATTCCAGTTTGCAAGCGTAATCACATTTTATTGAAATTGTTGCTAAGTCCACGAGTCTTCTTTGTACTTGACGACATAGCCCCTTCCCCTTGAAAAAAAAAGTTCTTGTAGTGTTGGACTCTCTGCAGTCCTCCCAAGGTGAGTTCCAAAACGGACATTACCTGTTTTAAGCTTGACTCTCTTCAGTTATAATTGTAAAATGTCTATATTGTGTGATTATTTAACGATTTTTTTTTGTTTGTTTTTGAAAAATAAAAGGTTATAAATGTTATAGATTCCAGCGTAAAGATGTTGTATATGAATCCTTTAGGAGAGGGTGAAAAATATGAAAAGACAATTAAGTAGATGTTTAATTTTCGACTAAGACTATGTCTACTAGCATTCAATATTGCAGTCAACAACGGCTACTGATTTTGTATTTGTTTTTCAACTTGCTAATGCTAAAAAAACCTACCAAACTATTTTGTTTAGAAAAGCTCTATATAATTTTTACAATACCAAATAATAACTTAAAGTTGTATTTATATGTAAGCGGTCAACCTAAGGTGTAGGAATTTGAAATGAATGTAAAGTAAGGAATGAATTATCTCCCATTTGAAAATCAAAATAACAAAATTTTATTCAAGGGAAATAACGTTCACAAGAATTGCTAAATTAACCAAGTGTAACTAAGACATGCTTGAAAAACACAATAAAACGCTCTAAATTTCATTACGTAATAATTATAACAAATCTTTATATTAGCTATGTAATCTTGTGAAAACAATATATTTTACTTATTGAATACTTAATTGTAGGTTTTGTTTGAAAGTCTAAAAATGTTAGCTTTATTATAACATACTTCTATTCAATTTGCATGACATACATATAGGTATATCTTTCATTTCTAGAAAAAATTCAAAATTTTGGATCCCCTAAATAAAGGGATGTCTTTCAAAAAATTAAACTCAGGTAATTGGTTTTAGACATTGCTAGATTTAGGCCTAATGATTAAATATAAAAAAAAAAATTGAAAAACAAAATTACGGTTAGTTAAAAATTCCATCCTATTTAATAAATATTAATACTTTAAGAGTGGTAATATAGATTCCTAAAAAACTAAAGATTTTTCATTACTGAACGCCTACCTTTCTTTGTTGTTTGTTCCGCCCTGAATTGAAATAATCTAACTTACGATAAACTCGCCTACTCGATATACTCTACTACAGGGGTCGGCAACCTTTTGAAGCGGAAGAGCCAAAAGTTACAATTTTCAAAATGTCCCTGGTTTTAAAGAGCCACTAACATTTTTTAATTTCAAATATTTTCTTTTTTGATTAAGATTATTAGTATTTGTGCAAGGAGCTGGAGAACCGCATCTTGATATCAAAAGAGCCGCATGCGGCTCGCGAGCCGCAGGTTGCCGACCCCTGCTCTACTACATTCACAACACATATCAAACTTGGATACCTAAACATAACTAGATTCAATACTCCAGGGCTACGACACCAACGATTTCACTGGACCTACTACTACACTTTAACAGTCAATATAATTCGATACCTTAATACCACAAGGCTCGATAGTCCTGAACTTCAAAACTACGATACCTCATCACCTACATTCGCATTTCTCTACTTATACCAATCAGATTCCACTGGATCTACAACATCAGCCAAATAAAAAATACGACACTTTAACACTTCGATACTTTATACCTACGAAACCATATCAGCAACAGCCTTCCGCCGTTACTTCCAAATCTAAACGAGTCATCAAAACTTACCAAACAAGTGACAATACTTTGAACACCCCGTCATTACAAAACTCTATACACCAGGACAGATTTCTAATTCAAAGTCAGAGAAAACGAGACTTACAAGCCCCATTAAAATGTTCGAAATTTAAATTACGAACTTATTTAATCGTTTTCTACATCAATTATGTGACAACAAATTAAAAAGGCAAAGTGACTGGTAAAAAGCGACCCGACCTTTCCAAATTAGGGAGGTGGGGTTGCATTTTCACTATCGCTAATAAATATAGACCAATATAACCTAATTTTGGGGTGGGGTGCAAAATTGATAGTTCGTCCTGGGCAGTGACGTAGGCAGGGGGGGGGGGGGGGTTATGGGGGGTCATAACCACCCATAGACCCTCGGTATATATATATATAAAGTATGACGGGGGATGCAAATCGAAAGTTTGAGGGGGGGGGGGGGTGCAAATCGAAAGTTTGAAAATTTCAACCCTACTGGTCCTGGGTGCCGAAATAGATCGCTACTGCTTAATACAAGTTATTAATTATTAGGTACTTTTTGATAATAGCGATTAAACCGTTTGCGCCCCCTAGGAATGGCGCCCTAGGCGACCGCCTAGTTTGCCTTATAGGTAGCGCCGGCCCTGCCCCCAATCTTGCTTATATATTCGTATGTGTGTGGATAGCACTTCTAGTGCAATATGGCTCAGTGTTTCTTACAGACTTTTTTCGCCGGGGGGGGGGGGGGGGGGCACTTGATATTTTCGAGGGGGAGGGGCGGTCACCCTTTTCCGGGGGGGGGGGGGCGGACACTAGTAAAAGTATATGTTTGCTATATAAATTCCATCTCGTTCGGGGGAGGGGGGGGGGGCGGTAGACTTTTTTCGGGGGGGGGGGAACACAGTTAACGATTAGCCTACTTTTTGAAAATACACGAAATTTTAAAATTATTTTAGACTAACATATCATTATAAAAAAAGGGGAATTGCGGGGCTAACGACTACTAACCCTAAGTCAATTTTACTTGCTTCATTGATCATCAGGTTCGAAAAGGGAACTTTTTCTTTTATTTAAAAAAAAATTTAATTAGTAAATTTGTTCCGTTATGTGAAAACAACTTCCGTTCGCTTCTTTAAGTTCTTATTAAAAAGTTGTATTTCACGGAAGCTGTTTTTTAAATAAACAAATCCACTTTCATTTTCCTTTCATCGTAACCACAATTTTACAAAACAATGATCATAACATTAACCAAAATTCTGTTCTCAGTTGCTATTCTACTTCGAGTATCCGGAGATTCCACCCACGAAAAAGAAAAATATACAAAAGGTAAGCTGTAGCCTAAGTTTTAATTTGTGGCCAGAACTTTCTACTTTTCTTCTTCGTTCTTAATTCTTATCTTAATCTTAGAATCTTAATTTTTTTAGTACTAAAAATTTTTGGTAATCTATCGTTTTGGGTACGTAAAATCGCCCGCGGCTATTAATGTACGAAAAAGTTACCTCATTGTCAAGGCTTTAGTAGAAGTATATTGTGATATATTTGTGTCAAATATTATAGATAAATGAATAATAAACATAAATCAATGGCTAAATAGTAAATATATCAATATTATATGCCAGAAATTAACTTTAAACAGCAGTGTTTGTGAGCAAGATTTGCTATATAAACAGCAGCCATTTGTAAAATAGAGTGGCTTCCCCCTGTCTCGCGCTATATCCGCTATAAAAAAAAACTTAAACAAGATGGCTGCTATAGTAAATGAGTATGGTTGCATCTGTTGGAAACATCGCTAGTGTTCATTTATTACTGAAAAGTTTTAATTCAATTGTTTAAAAACAGGTACATAAATGAAACAAAGAAACATTTTTGTATTTTTTAAAACATAAATCCTCCTCAAAATGTGAAATAATTATTAAAATTTATGGAGTCACCTGTTTTTCACATTACTAGTCGCGGGCGATTTTACGTACCCAAAACGATAGATTACCAAAATTTTTAGTGTTGGGAGGGATCGAGCCTTATCTGCTAGAGGGTTTGAACTCGAGACTTGTTTTCGAATTTATCAACCATGAGCTTTGCCGACTCGACCATGCTTCCATCACAATTAACTTGAATTAAGGATTACGTGTCAACTGTTTAACTTTATGCGCCATTGAAATTGAGGCCATTGACTCCGATTTCAGCCTGCTTTTCTTTTTGGATTTGCTTCCATAGCCTTTGTCTAACCAAGAACAAACTACAAGGCAGCAGTTGTTTGATTTTGGAGTTGTCTCTCCTAGAAGAGTGGCTGTCCCCAGCTAACGAGCCTCATCTGCCTGAGGGTTCGAACTCAAGACTTTTTGGTTTAGCAACCATGAGCTTTACCGACTCGACCACGCCGACCCCTACTTTTCTAAATCTTTGTAATCTATCGTTTTTTTAGGTACGTAAAATTAAAGTAAAATCGCCAGCGACTAGTGATGTGAAAAACAGGTGACTCTTTAAATTTTAATAATTATTTCACATTTTCAGGAGGATTTATGTTTTGAAAAATACAAAAATGTTTCCTTGTTTCATTTATGTACCTGTTTTTTAAACAATGGAATTAAAACTTTTCAGTAATAAATGAAGACTAGCGATGTTTCCAACAGATGCAACCATGCTCATTTACTATAGATCTAGCAGCTATCTTGTTTATTTTTTTTTATTCTAAACTTATAGCGCAAGATTCAGGGGAAGCCACTCTAACATACAGATGGCCGCTTTTTATATTGCGAGCAAGATTTGCTATATAAACAGCAGCCATTTGTAAAATGTATTATTTATTTAACTATTTTAACCCTAAACCCAAACTTTCTTAGCGTCCCAGTGGGAGTACTATAGAGAGCTAATCAAAGACAGTATTGCTGGGTACCATGATTGCAGCAATGAAGACTGTTCTTGCTTTTCAAGGTATTGAATAGTTATATGTAATAGTATATTTAAATTTGTAGAAAATATCATATGGTCATGGCTTATTATCATTAACAGGCTTGCATTTACTAATTAGCATGTTTACTTTTTAGTCATATATTTTACAATTTTACACCATTTTTTTGTCAATAACACATGAATACTATACTATAATTTAGAACAATAACTTCCATTTTTTAATGTTCCTACTTTTTATTTTTACTTATTCCTCTTTGTGAAGTGTTTTAGTTTTTGTCAATAACACATGAATACTATACTATAATTTAGAACAATAACTTCCATTTTTTAATGTTCCTACTTTTTATTTTTACTTATTCCTCTTTGTGAAGTGTTTTAGTTGATGATTTGTCTGTATGGCGGGGTGGAATTACCAAAGAAGACATAGAAGCTGCCGTAAGATTTGGTGTACACTACCAGATCATTGATCACAAACTCTACAGACAAGATGAATGTATGTTTCCATCAAGGTAATTTTTAAATAGTACATATTGTTTTTATTAAAATGTGAGTTGTCTCCCATTTTATTTTTGTCAGAATAAAATAGACATCCACTGTAAGTAATTTCCTGTTTGACTTCTAAAACTAGTAGTCATGTAATTTCATCAAGTTACAGTGCACAAATTTTTAAAATTCTTCTGTAAGAAAGGAGGGAACATTTTAAGCCGACTTGTAATTTTACTTTACAAAATATAGATCTATATACAGATCTATCTGTTGCATATTACAGTTAAAATAGTTTGATGTCAAATGATTTTGGATATGTTTATCTCCTAATTTTTTTCTTCTTTAACTAGATGCAGTGGAGTTGAGCACTTCATTCTACAAATTCTACCAACTTTGTCTGACATGGACCTGGTTATAAATGTTCATGATTGGCCTCAAGTGCCACGAAGATTAAAGCCTTTACCTGTATTCTCCTTTAGCAAAGTGGTAAGTTTTTAGTAATAATAATATCTGAAAAACTTTGTTATCTATTGTCTGACTGGTATACTAGTTCTAGTTTGGTGTCTTCACGATTGGCCGCAAGTGCCACGAAGATTAAAGCCTTTACCTGTATTCTCCTTTAGCAAAGTGGTAAGTTTTTAGTTAAAATAATATCTGAAAAACTTTGTATTATCTATTGCGTGACTGGTATACTGGTTCTAGTTTGGTGTCTTGATCTGTTGACAGCTGACTGACCACTGGGATATCATGTATCCAGCCTGGACATTTTGGGAAGGAGGGCCTGCAGTTTGGCCTATTTATCCCACTGGATTAGGGCGATGGGACCTGCAGAGAGATATTATTACCCAGTGAGTTTTAAACAACTTGTTGTTGATTTTAAATATTGGTTGATCAGTTCTTGTACTGTGAAAGACGACTAACCTGAACGTCTCCGGGGTTTGAGTTCATAGTATGTCCCTGAGTCTACCCAGCCTTGATGGGTACCTGACTCACTGTAGGGAAAATACAGGGGCTGGGCATAGAATTGACCACACTGTCTCTTTCAATGCTGAGATAACAGAAACTGCTGGTCTGAAAGGGTAACTTACAGCTTAAGTTGTCTAACTTTTAAAATTTATTTGTTTTTTTTAAGAGCAGCTGAAAATTGGCCTTGGGAGAAAAAAGACGATTTAGCCTATTTTCGTGGATCAAGAACTAGCGCAGAAAGAGATCCCTTAATTCTTTTGTCTCGCAAGGAGCCCACTTTAGTTGATGCCCAGTACACAAAAAATCAAGCGTGGAAGTCAGACGAGGTGAGTTGCTCTGCTCTATGTTTGTGTCTTTAACCATTGCCTTGTCACTGTGTCCATAAACATTTCTCTCTCATCATCATCATGTAGGATACATTGTACAGAGCCCCAGCCACAGAAGTTAAATTAGAAGAACATTGTAGATATAGGTAGGTAAAGTCTATCTCATTTTCTATCTGTATTTTAAATGTGTGGTGGACATACATTTGAATACCCATTGGACATATGCATGAATAATATTGGCCCCAAAAGCCAATCACCTGAGCAAAATATATGTCTTAAACTCTTATGTAATATGAAATTAAAAAATAATTAAAAGTAACTTAAATGTAATTAAATAAAAAGTAATTTTTTTCTCCAATAACCAATACATCATGATACAAAATTAATTTAGTTTTATATGTACATGAACTGTAGTAAAATTTAATCTCAAATGATAGGTTCTAATATTTTGTATTATTTGTATAACAAGAAATGTATTTGTTTATATATATATATATATATATACAAAATTTATTTAGTTTTATATGTACATGAACTTTAGTAAAATTTAATCTCAAATGATAGGTTCTAATATTTTGTATTATTTGTATAACAAGAAATGTATTTGTTTATATATATATATATATATATATATATATATATATATATATATATATATATAAGTATATTATTGAGAAACTAAAGAATTTTTGTTTCAAAAGTTACCTTTAAAAAAATATAAAATGATGCGTGCTTTCAGGCCTACAACACATCTCATACAACCAGTTTGTAATGTGCCACTTACAACAAATCTCTGCAGCTCAGCAGGTAAACCATCTCTTGTCGTCTACAGGTACCTGTTTAACTTTCGAGGTGTGGCTGCCAGTTTCAGGCTCAAACATCTGTTTTTGTGCAACTCAACGGTCTTTCACGTGGGCAACGATTGGTTAGAGTTCTTCTACCCCGCCTTAAAGCCGTGGGTGCACTATGTTCCTGTCAGCTCTGATCTCTCTCAAGTTAGGTGGGGCACTGTTTTTTTAACCCATTGATTTAGTGAAGTGTTTGCAGATGATGGTTTTATTTACAGATTATTTTTTTAGAGATGTTTGTAAAGTAAAAGTTTCCCTTTCAAACCTGACGGTCTATGGGGCAAGTGAAGTAGAGTTCACTTTTTTCTGTGACCTCGGCATATGAAGAGATAGTGTTGTCAGCACTATGCCCAGCCGCCTTTACTTTCCCTATTGTGAGTTAGGTACCCATCAGAGTTGGGTGGACTCAGGGACGGTCTACTGACTAGAACCCGGATTCGAACTTGAGACTTACGGATTAGCAGTCCAGCTCTCTACCCCTAGACCACTCCGTCCCAACAGTGCATTAAAAAATGTTGTTTGTTGATGGTGGTTTATGTACCTAATAGTTTACTTTGTGAAGTCATTATTTTGTACATCACTTGGTGGCAGTGTTGCAGACAAGATTTTTTTTTACCTATAATTTTGTGAAGTTATTTTGTTTTATATTACTTGGGGGAGATGTTGTAGACAATGAATTTTTTTGCCTATACTTTTTTGAGGTTGTTTTTAGTTTTACATCACTTTTGCAAAAGTTGTAGACAATAATTTTTTTTACCTGCCTATTGCTTGGTGAAGTTTTGTAGATTAGTTTTTAAAAACTGTAAGTTTGAAGAAATCTTTTGTCTTTGTTGTAGAGACCTGCTTGTGTTTGCAAAGAATAACCAAGACTTGATGCAAGGCATTGCAGAAAGGTAAGTGTGTTGTGGTATGGATGTTAGCTGTTGTGTGTAGAGAAGTTGCTTCCCATTTAGTCTTGTAAAAATATCTCAGCTAGGTTGAAAATTAAATTAAGAGTTTATATTTATGAGGCTGTATTTGAAGTAGTTTCCTTTATAGCCTTGTAAAAATATCTCAGCTAGGTTGAAAGTTCAGAGTTCATATTTGTGAGTTTGTGTTTGTAGTGCCAGTTTAGTTTAGGTCGTGTAGGGTTTGCAATTCCAAAGAGTTTGCGCTCAGCCTTTTTTGTTTATTCAACCAAATGATCATTAAGTGTGATGTAAAGCTGGGTCTAATGAATTGTTTTGCTGATAGAGTTGGATGAGGGATGTTTATAGATGAGTCTGAATTGTTGACTAAGTCAAGACTCAAGAATGTGACAATTCTGGTTTTTGTTGTCCTGTTTGTCATCAGGAAGAAAACTGGCGAATATTTGATAAATGTTGAGTTGTAAGGCTGAAATAAAAAGATTGAAAATTTTCAAATGTGATAGTTAAAAATATCTCATACCAATATTTGAATGAAGTTTGATTACACGTTTTCTTTTCTAAGGGGGAGGCAATTTATAACAGAACATTTGCGACTGGATGATGTGTCCTGTTATTGGAAGCTGTTGTTACAGAAGTATGGTGAACTGCTCAAGTATAGACCTACACGAAAGACTTCATACAAGCAGATAAAGTAGAATAGGCTACACCCTGTCAGTCATGTACTATATGTTATATATTAAATTGTTAAAAATGTGATTGTTTTTTTGTGTGTGCACTAGTTAGTGATGACAGTACAAAACTTGACACTGTGCTGTGGTTGATGATGACAGTACAAAACTTGACACTGTGCTGTAGTTGATGATGACAGTACAAAACTTGACACTGTGCTGTAGTTAGTGATAACCATACAAAACTTGACACTGTGCTGTAGTTAGTGATAACCATACAAAACTTGACACTGTGCTGTAGTTGGTGATGACAGTACAAAAGTAGACACTGCTGTCATTGTTGTTAACCTTACAAAACTTGACATGATGTAGTTTGTGATAACCATACAAAACTTGACAATTTGCTGTAGTTGGTGATGACCATATAAAACTTGACACTTTGTTGTAGTGGTTGATGACAGTACAAAATACAAAACTTGACACTTTGCTGTAGTTTGTGATGACGGTACAAAACTTGACACTGCTGTAGTTTGTGATGACCATATTAAACTTGACACTTTGCTTTAGGTTGTGATGATGGTACAAAACTTGACATGATGTAGTTAGTGATAACCATACAAAACTTGACACTTTGCTGTAGTTTGTGATGATGGTACAAAACTTGACACTTTGCTGTAGTGTGTGATGATGGTACAAAACTTGACACTTTGCTGTAGTTTGTGATGACGGTACAAAACTTGACACTTTGCTGTAGTTTGTGATGACAGTACAAAACTTGACACTTTGCAGTAGTTTGTGATGACCATATAAAACTTTGTGATGACGGTACAAATCTTGACATGCTGCAATTGTTTGTGTAACATTTATGTAGTTGGAAGTCTTGGTGTGTGTGGGGATCAAGGTGTTTGTGGTAATGTAATTTAAACAACTATCTCAAGAAAATGTATATTTATTGTATACACTTATCTGAAAATATGCTATTAAATACACCCCCTTTGGCGATAGGATTACCAACTCTGGTTTCCTTTTGGCTGTTATACCTCTTCCTTGGGTCAGTCATCTGTATTGAGTGAAAGCTCTGATACATAGTGCTAGATCTTGTCCTTCTCTTCTTACTGCCCAGACTTTGTGCTTGGATTTCCACTACCAGCGTTTCTTCCAGGCATCCCTTCGAGGGGGGGGGGGGTGAAAGAAAGTCTACTGCCCCCCCCCCCCCCCCCCCAACGAGATGGATTTTATATAGCAAACATACACTTTTACTAGTGTTCGCCCCCCCCCCCCCCCCCATAATGTAGACTCCACCCCCCCCCCCACCCCCTTCGGGGGAGTGTGAACTGTCCATACTGGACGTGGTTTATGAACAAAATGTGTAAAATAAAAAGAGAAATACAAATTGAAAATGTTGTCTCAATACTTTGTTAATTTTTTCAAATAATGAAATATATTTAGAAAGTAGAAAAAAATGACCCTTAAAATAACACTAAGAACGTACTTTGCTCTTCCTCCTCCCCCCCCCCCCCCCCCCCCCCCCCCCCCCCCCATCCTTACTTCACATAAGCAGCTGAAGGATCGCTCTTCTTTCACGCTACATTGTTTGTCAATTTTTCTATACTCTATGAGCTCAGCAGCTTTGGTTGTAGTGAGACTGCAATAGAGATATCTTTATTGCTCCACAGTCGCTCAAAACTATTTCAAAATATGTACACATGTAAACTAATCAAATGTGTATACAGTCAATTCACTTAACTCATTTATATTTTAGATTAAATTTAGGGCGTGGCCTAGCGGTAGAGCGCTAGAATGCTAACCCGAAAGTCTCCAGTTCGAATCTGGATTGGATTTAAGTCAGTAGAACGTAGCACTTGGATAACTAACTTACGTTAGGGGAAAGTAAAGGCGCTGGGCATAGTGCTCACCACACTATCCCATCATATGGCTAGGTTGCAGAAACAGGTAAACTCTACTTTACTTGCTCCATGGACCGTCAGGTCCGAATAGAGAAATTTACTTTTGCCCCCCCCCCCCTTCCGCGTCACTGCAAGGTTTGACATAGAGTCAAGAAGTGCTTCACTTTCATTCGAGCACCTTGACCGGCTAACTCCAGGCAAGCCACGAACTTTAACGTCCCTCCGTGCTGGAGTTAACATTTATAACATAAAAAGGCCAAGCGGAAGATTGTATAGTAAAGTGTGGCTTTACTCTAAAATCTTTCTCTTTGGCAGAGCTCCGAAAAACTACAATAGGAAGACAGTGTCAATGCCTCTCGTGTGGGTCCCTCGTAAACTATCCGAGGCTGATGTCGCACAGCGTGCTTATTGCCATTAGCAGCGAGGGCAAAAAAAGCAACTCGTGGACCGTTGCTTTACGGGTTGAAATACTAGTTAATACCCAATTTGCACGGGTCGCTGGTGTATATTACAATATCAAGTAGTTGAAACAAACAGGGGCTGTCGTAGTAGGGGATATTTTAGGTACGTGTAGGGGAAATATGTGTGTAGGACTACTGTTTAAGGGTTCCAAAGGTATGTTCCAGCGGTAGAAACGTGTAGACAGTGGCGTAGCCAGGATCGTCTCAAAGGGGGGGGGGGGGTTCCAATTTTTACCCGGGGACAAACTTTCGATTTGCACCCCCCCTCAAACTTTCGATTTGCACCCCCCCCCCCTCAAACTTTCGATTTGCACCCCCCCTTCAAACTTTCGATTTGCACCCCCCCTCATACTTTTTATATATACCGAGGGGTCTATGGGGGGGGGGGGGGGGGTTATGACCCCCCCTAACCCCCCCCCCTGCCTACGCCACTGCGTGTAGATGTGTGTCGCCAATACGTCAGCGTTTGCGTGAACATTATCTTCATAACTAGGGATTAACGTAAAACTGTAATCCAGCGATGTGTAACCCAGATTAGGCTCTGGATCAATGAGCTCCAGACATTGTGGTCATGCGATACTCGTCCTTGACCTTTCTCCCCCCTAAGACTCGAGTTACAGATGATGAAGAGGGCCGGGGTCTGAATTATGGTTGAAAAATAAATTTGGTCGAAAATAAAACCTGTAGGTCAGAAGATTTCTTATCAAAGGGAGATAATTTATAAAACCAGATCAGACGAGTATAGCCTATGCCAACGACACGAAAACAACGCTACATTGCCTTGAGCCTAAAGCCTGCATTTAAGACAGATGCTACCCGTATTGTCGAGGGAGGGTGTGGTAAAGTTGGAGTTCCGATCCTGGGCTCTAGCCCTTACACCGTCCTTCAGTCCAGCCAGCTCTGGTGGGTACCTGCAGGGGGAGTAAAGGCAGCTGGGCATAGTGCTGACCACACGATTCCTTATAATTTGCCGAGGTCACTGAAACAGGTGAACTCTGCTTCACCTGCCCCATGGACCGTAAGGTTTGAAAGGTTTCCCATATCGCCGAAACAAGAAGTTTTGAAACTTAAGACCAGCCATATTGTTGAGGTGAAAAAAGTAAACAACAAAAAAAAGGAGTTTCACATGTATTCAATAACAAAAGAGTAAATATTTATAGGCCTACATGCAAATTTTTTTTTTAAAAGGATAGGGGTCATCCATAAATGACGTCACGCTTTTTTGACGATTTTTACCTCCCCCGCCTCCACTCCGTCACACATCGTCACAAAAAGTCAGCCCTCCCCCTAAAATGACGTCACACCTCAGTCTACAACCCCCCTCAAAATTGCAGTTGAATTTTCTTGAAACATCGATATTTTTCTTGTCTGAACTCAGTTTTTCTTCTTCTTCTTCATTCTTAATTATTAGTGTTGAAGGGGATCGAGATTTATCTGCCAGTGGGTTTGAACTCGAGACTTTGTTCGAATTTATCAACCATGATTTTTGCCGACTCGACCACGCCTCCAACACAATTAAGCGTTACGTGTCAACTGGTTATGCGCCATTGAGGCCATTGACTCCGATTTCAGCCTGCTTTTCTTTTTGGATTTGCTTCCATAGTCTTTGTCCAACCAAGAACAATCTACAAGGCAGCAGTTGTTTAAATTTTGGAGTTGTCTCTCCTAGAAGAGTGGCTGTCCCCAGCTAACGAGCCTCATCTGCCCGAGGGTTCGAACTCGAGACTTTTCGGTTTAGCAACCATGAGCTTTACAGACTCGACCACGCCGACCCCTGAACTCAGTCAAAATAGAGTATTTTAATCCAATTCCTATTAAAACAGTTTCTAAAATGCGAAATAACGTCTAAAATTCGTTTTCTAACATCGCTTTTTTATAATGCAAATTACGGATCCCCCTCCCCCTACGAGTGTGACGTCATTTATGGACGATCCCATATGTAAAAAATCAATTGTAAGTTTTCTCAGTTACATACGGGGTACCGATTTACCCCAAGCTATCTGTATACACACAGTATAATCTTACACTAGGGAACACACTGTTGGCGCTTCTCTATAATCAAGTTACACAGTCCTAGAGGATCGTAGTGTAATAGATTATATCAGACTGTTTTTATGGGTCTGCACTATTGTGAGTATTATATAGTGTTGTGTTCTGTTATTGTGTGCCCCCCCCCCCCCGTATTGTATTGTGAGAACGTGGGTTGGTGTGTGGTTGGTGTGTGGTTGGTGTGTGGTTGGTGTGTGGTTGACAGCGGGTCTACTGATCGGAATCGTGGGACGGGGAGTATAGTAGGGTGGAAGGTACGGGCGTCTGGGTCGATGTGCTGGGAGATGGGCAGGGGAGCCCTGGGGGAGGGGGCGTGAAGTATCGAGATACAATGTGAGTGGGAGGAGATACTACATATGTGCTCCCCTGATAACTTATTCTACGAGAGTACAGTTCATAGTGAGTTTTATTTCGAAAGTAATTTTTAACGAACCAAAAAATTCTATGATATAGACGTAAAAATATGACCCATTAGTTTACAAAATAACCCTCTTTTCCTGAAAAATCTTGAGACACGTTAACAATTGGTTAGGTTAAGAGTTTTGTCAAGGGCTAGATGAGATCTAGGGTTAGAAGTGACTTAAGTATAACCGTATCTGTCTCGGCTTAAATAACTGGTAAAGGTTAGTAATAAAATCATATCAATACTAGCGGATTCTAGTCAAAATTTCTTCTT